GACCACTAGGGAAGTCCCACATGTCTTTTTCTTTATTTTTACTTTCAACTCACCTGTTGAAATGTTAAAGTGAGTCTCTTGTAAACAGCATTTAATTGGGTTTTGTTTGTAATCCATTTTGGCAGTCTTATTTCTTAATTTGTTCAGTAAATTTGTATTTATTATATACTGATATGTTTGGGTTTATGTCTGCCACCTTGTTATTCTGTTTGTCTCGTCTGGTCTTTGTAACTTTGTTTTTCCATTCTGCCTTCTTTTGGATTAATTGGGTATTTATCCCATTTCATCTCCTTTTATTTCTTCTTAGCTTTATGTCTTTGTAATATTGTATAATCTTATGTTTTATTTACTCTAAGGTTAACAATACAAATTTTATTTTATAATAATCTACCTGGAATTAATATTATGCCACTTAATGTAAGAACTTATATATTAGTATAATTGCAGTTTTCCCTGTTGTCGTATATATCACTTTTTACATATTATATAAGTCCATTATGCATTTTTTTTCTTTTTTTTTGCGGTACGCGGGCCTCTCACTGTTGTGGCCTCTCCCGTTGCGGAGCAGAGGCTCCGGACGCGCAGGCTCAGCGGCCATGGCTCACGGGTGCAGCCACTCCGCGGCATATGGGATCTTCCCGGACCGGGGCACGAACCCGTGTCCCCTGCATCGGCAGGAGGACTCTCAACCACTGTGCCACCAGGGGAGACCTATGCATTGTTGTTATTCTTGCTTTGTACGGTCACCAGCATTTTAAAGAAATTTAAAAGTAATTTTGTACAATATTTTTTTCCTAGTTAATTAGTTTTGGGGTTGCTCTTCATTCCTTTCTGCAGACCCAGGCTTCTGTCTTTGATGGTTTCCTTTCAGGCTAAAAAACTTACTGTACCCGGAGGAGACTTCAGATGAGTCTGTCATCATTCTAAAGTCTTGGCTGCTTCTTCTGTCATTCCAGCCTGGATGAGGCTCCCACATGTGTCTCACTTCTCTCTGGGAGGGAGGTGCAGTTCATGAACTGTTTTTAAGGGAGCAGAGAGCATCTACAGGAAACAAATTAATGAGATTAGAACTGATGGTTCAGTTCCTGTGTCTCTGGGTTTGGTGCTTTAAAGTTTAAACCCACACTGCCTGTGACCTTTCACTTTTTTGATTCTGTTTTGGTAAGTGTTTAATACGGGCTCAACAAAAAAGTTACATTAAAAAAATGGAAATTAAGTGGGGAGGGGGTAAAATGGAAATCTGGTTTTCATGTATAGTTTCCCCCGGAGACTGTCATTTAGAATGACTTTACTAGCTGTATTTATCATACATTGAAGTGTGTAATGACATGCTAAAAAATACGATGTCAAACGTCAGAATCATAAGATTTTCTCTGCAGGTTGTTGCCCTTGAACAGTAAACATCTATTAGGGTAAGGACTACATTATCACCATATCTGGCTTCTTTATTCTCAGTTCAGATTACTTAACTCAGTAAATATTTGTTATATATCAGGTTATATATCTAACAGATGTAACATGCCAGATTTCAGTGCTTTGTAAATACCACCATCCAAGTTACTTCTATTATTATGATCTTTCTTGTACTGATTCGGTTCTAGCTTTCTTACTTAACATCACGTATCAGTAATTTCTCCCCAAGATCAGACTGCCGTTACCCTGGTTGAGATTGAGGCAGACATTTACAATAATTGACACTTTGCTTATTTATACAGATGATGAGTCTCAGTCATTATTTGTTAATTTTACTAGATTAACTCTCAGAGGGTAACCTTATGCTAGAGTTTTGAGGTTGCTTTACTATCACCATAGAGTATTAGCAACAGAAATTACCTGTAGATAAAAAATTAACATCGATGATAATTGATTTAACAAACAGAAGAATAGTTTTTGAAAGATAATAATAAAATTTAAATGCTAATGTTATAAATATCAGACCTTAGGGATAGCACATTTGCCAGGAAATAAATGCACATACCTATACTCCTGCTGTTATGAAGGATAATGGTGGAAGGGGAGAGGCTTCTATTTAGACATGTAATCTTCTAAAACCCAGGTTATGCAGGCAGTTGATAGAAGCCAGTACTAGTAAGGAATGTTGGCTGAATGCAGTAGTGAAAAGATAGAGGGTCAAGAGTTAATAGCAGTTTCAGGTACCTGCTTTGTTATTGAGTTTCATCATCAGTATTATGTTAGTTACCTTTCAGTTTTATTGTTATATCATTTCTTATGACTGTAGAGTGATAGGGAATAAACTACTCTATGTAAAAACAACAACAAAACATGCTGTAGTATTTCTTGTGATATGCTCAGATGATGAAAAATTCTCTCCACTTTGTGTGTGTGTGTGTGTGTGTGTGTGTGTATGCATGTATGCGCATGCGTGCCTAAAAATGTCTTTATTAAGCCTTCATTTTGGAAGGATTTTTTTCTTGCATATAAAATTTTAGGTTTTTTCTTTCAGCTTTAAACGTAAGGTAGATAGCTAGTGGGAAGCAGCCGCATAGCACAGTGAGATCAGCTCGGTGCTTTGTGATCACCTGGAGGGGTGGGATCTGGAGGGTGGGAGGGAGGGAGACGCAAGAGGGAAGAGATATGGGAACATATGTATATATATAACTGATTCATTTTGTTGTAAAGCAGAAACTAACACACCATTGTAAAGCAATTATACTCCAATAAAGATGTGGGGAAAAAAAAAAAAGATGTTTGTCTTGGGGCTTCCCTGGTGGCGCAGTGGTTGAGAGTCTGCCTGCCGATGCAGGGGACACAGGTTTGTGCCCTGGTCCGGGAAGATCCCACATGTCACGGAGCGGCTAGGCCCGTGAGCCATGGCCACTGAGCCTGAGCGTCCGGAGCCTGTGCTCCACAACGGGAGAGGCCACAACAGTGAGAGGCCCTCGTACCGCAAAAAAAAAATAAATAAATAAAAAATAAGGTGTTTGTCTTTTGTTTCCTTGTTTCCATTGTTTCTTGTGGGAAGTCAGCTGTTTTCCTTCTTGTTGTTCCATGAATATAATCTGTTGTTTTCTTCTGATTACTTTTAAGATTTTTACTTTTTATTTGGTTTTCAACAGATTGTGATGTTTTAGGTGAGGTCTTCTTTGAAATGATTCTGTTTGGAGTTTGCTGAGCTTGTAGGATCTATAGGATGGTGCCTTTAATCAATCTAGGAAAAGTCTCCCACATCTCTTCAAATATGCCTTCTGCTGCTTTCTGTCTCTCTGCTTTAACATTACACGTTACACGTTAATCCTGTGTCAGATGCTCTGTTTTTACATTCTTTTCACTTCCTTTGTATCATCATAAAGTTTCCACCTACTGCCTTAATTCACAATCCTTTCTTCTACTGTGTCCAGACTGCAGTTAAGTGCATTCATGGTTTACGTCAGATATTATATTTTTATTTAGTTGTAGAATTTGTTTTGGTTCTTTTCTTCTTTTTTTTCCATGAAATTATTTATCATGTTTATAATAATTTTAAAATCTTTTCCTGCTACTTCTGATGTTTGGGATATCTGTTTTTGTTGACTTTTTTTTTCTTGATTATGTGTCACATTTTCCTGATTCTTACATTTCCTGATTCTAGTCATTTTTTTGTGTACTGGACACTGTGGATGATACCTTGTAGGGAATATAGATTGTTATCTTCTACTAAAGAGTGTGAATTTTGTTTGGTAGGTGGTTAAATAATTACAAATCACCTTAATCCTGATGAGGCTTGGTTTAGGATTGATTAAGGTAGAGTTACTTTGATTTTGCTTAATCCTTGGGTGTAGCCCTTATTCTTGGGCATGGTCTTTCCTTCTGGGATGTAGCTTTCTAGGGTTTCAGCTGAATGCCTTGGGTGCTTACTGATGTTCTTTTGCCCAAGCTGGGTCAGAACTCTAATGCCTCCCAACACTGTGTAACTCCTGAAACCTCTGCTCAGAAACCTAGCAGCTGTTCTTTGCCAGGTCTTTGAGAGCCTTTTCCAATACATTTGCAGTTAGGGTCCAGCTAAGGACTCATGGAGAAACCCACTGCAGGTTTCTGGGTCCCCTCCTTTGCTCTGCTTGACTTTGCAAAGCCCTCCTCACAGACAATTCCATAGCCTCCTCCCTGTGGACAGGAATGTAAGGCCTCCCCGCCTGGCAGGAGCACAATTGTGTACCCTCTGTCCACCTCACAGACATGTCCCAGGCACCCACAGAGCTACCAGTGCTGTGCTGGTGTCTGGGGAAGAGCAGACAATAAAGGACCAAACGAACAAGGTGATGTTAAATAGCGCTAACCAGTGCTGAGCAGCAGATAAAACAGGACAGTGAGCTGGAAAATGAGGAGTAACCCATGTAGGAGGGGAGGTCAGAGAGGGTCTCTTAGAGGAGGTTACCTGGGAGTTGTGACCTGAATGATGAGAAGAAAGGGAAGGGTTGCTGTCACCTGAGACTTGGGAATCAAAACAGACAGGCCTCAAACAGACAGGAATTGTGTGTTAATGGGGGAAATGGTCACTTACAGGGAGAACTAAAGAAATCCAGCAGAAAATGTAACAAGGAGAGCTGTGGTAGTTTGACCCTGATTCTGAGTGCTTGGGAGGATCAAGAGGTATCCTCTTGACATTGTGAAACTTGTTTGTTAGGAAGGTTAATATGATGTCAGTTACAGGAGGAATGGACCTAACTAGGGAGATGGATCAGAATTTGGAGATATCTAAGGATTAAAGAGGGGTGGCTGTTCAGAATATTTTATGTTGGCGATGTCTGCTTATTCCATGATGTTTCCCCTAATATGTCTTCTCCCCCTGTTTTGCTGACGACTTTTTTAGCTGATCAGTCTTCCTGTGGATTCCTCTTGTTCTGTGTGTACCTTTTGTGGCTTCTCTTCTCAAAGTTCCATCTGTTCCCTTAGTTGATATTTAAAAACATCTACTTGTATTGTGCACATCTTGTTGCTTTTATCTCATCATTCTCACTCTAGGAGTTTTTCTTCCCAAGCATCTGTTTTTCATTTCCTTCCAGCATGGAAGCAGACCTAAAAGCCAAGAGTCACCATCAACAGAGGCCATTTCTGGTGACAGATTACCCAGCATCATGAACCTGGAAAGATACACAATGGGTGATTCCTGGTGTTCTACCATAGCAGATGACTGGAAATCTGAGGATGAATCCGAAAAGCAGAAGATGTACAGTGTTAGTGTGGGGCCAGTGGAATATGAACAAGGGCAACTAGTGACCCCGGATGGGGATTGGGAAAATGCTGAAGTTGTGGGGAAATGCAGCTTCTATTCCGACTTTGTTTCTTCACAGAGATTTCTTATCAAGGAACATTTTAATAAACTGACTCAGGGGTTCACAGTTTACAGCATAATTTTGTTTTTCAGAATCATCAGGAAATCTTGGTAGAAAAGAAATCTTGTAAAGGCAATCCATGTGGAAAAGTCCTGGAAAAATTGTGTAAGTTGAATGAGCATGGTAAATATACCAACCAGAGCATATGCTTTTCTACACATGAGATAATTAATACTGGAGAAAAATGTTATGGATATAAGGAAAGTGGGGATTTTTTTGCCCATAGGTCACACCTCTCTCAGTTCATGAGAACTCATGGTAGGGAGAAGTCCTATGAATGTAATGAATGTGGGAAAGCCTTTAAGAAGCTTTCATCTCTTTCTCACCATCTAAGAAATCTCAGTAGAGAAAAAGCCTATGAATGTAATGAATGTGGGGAATCTTTCTGGCAGAGTGTTCACCTCATTTTGCACCAGAGAATTCACACTTTTGAGAAACCTTATAAATGTAATAAATGTGGAAAATCTTTTAGCCAAAATTCTCACCTTAATGTACATCAGAGAACTCATACTAGAGAGAATCCCTATAAATGTGATGAATGTAGAAAATCCTTCAGTGGACGGTGTAATCTTAATGTGCACAAGAGAACACATACTGGAGAGAAACCCTACAAATGTAATGAATGTGGGAAAACTTACAGTTTTCATTTATCCTTCACTCAACATAAGAGAACACACACTGGAGAGAAACCATATGAATGTCATCAGTGTAGGAAAGCTTTCAATCAAGATTCTAACTTTATTGGGCACCAAAGAACTCATACCAGGGGGAGGAAATTACACATTTCATTTTAATTCACAAAAGCTGTACAAGTATATGTAGATTTTGTCTTTTTTAACCATTTCCAGAGAAGGGCTGAGACTGGGTGGTATTTGATACCTGGGTAAATTGCCAATGAAAAATAATTAGTAAAATCAAAACTCCCTTCAATAATACTAGTTAATACAATCAACCAGTGTGGGAAAGGCCGTTGCTGAGAAGTCAGAATAGGTTGATGATATTTGACTCAAAGACTGAATGTACTATTTCAAAGAGCCAGAGTGCTATGATTTACTTCTTTGTTCTCCAGTGCTAGAAAGTTAGAGTACTTCTAATTTGTTTCAGGAAGTCACCATAAACTGTTATTATGAACACTGTGTAGAAATACGGAAAGCACCTGTAATGTGTACTGAGAAGTGCAGAATTGTTGTGGCTGTGTTATCCTATGTGTGCATCTGGACAAGGGCTTAGAAGAAAACAGAAATGAACATAGCTAATTTAATAAGAGTCTGGGAATACTGGGCCTTTTTATGTTTCTCTAAAAATTGTTACAGTTTTACAACAAATAAAAATACAAGGAGGAGGGGCTTCCCTGGTGGCGCAGTGGTTGAGAGTCCGCCTGCCGATGCAGGGGACACACGTTTGTGCCCCGGTCGGGGAGGATCCCGCATGCCGCGGAGCGGCTGGGCTCGTGAGCCATGGCCGCTGAGCCTGCGCGTCCGGAGCCTGTGCTCCGCAGCGGGAGAGGCCATAGCAGTGAAAGGCCAGCATACCGCAAAAAACAAACAGACAAACAAACAAGGAGGAGAAAGAAGCTCAAATGTCAGTCTGAATCATTAGAAATGGGCGCACTAAAGTAGCAAAAACAAGAAGAAATGGAAATAAATTTAGTGCTAATCACAAGAAATTAGAAAAAAAATATTTCTAATCAAGGCAGAAACAAGGATGTAATAGTGATAAAAGGAGAAAATACATGGTAAAAGATGATTCTGAGAAAAACAAACTATAAATTCCAAACTAACAGGATCAAGAAAAATAACACACAGATTTGCACCATTGGGAATGAAAAGGGAAATAAACATAGAGAAAATTATATCATAAGATTTGTACATTTTTGTGTTAACACACCTGAAAAACTTAGACGAAAAAGATAGTTTTCTAGAAAAACATAATATTGACTGAAGAAGACACAGAAAACCTAATAGACGAAACATTTCAGAATAAATTGAAAAAGTTCTCAGGAAATTACTCCACAAAATTTCAAGCCCAAGCTATTTTACCACTGAATTATTTCCACCTTCAAGAAATAGAAAATTCTTTGATATACAACTATTCCAGAACATATAGAGAGTTGAATGCTACCTCTTTTGTGATACCAGTCTGTCAAAGCTCAAAGAAAGAAAAAGGCCAATATCTCTCAGGAATATTAATGCAAAAGTTCCAGATCAGACATTACAGCGAGTACACCTGGATTTAGGAACAATCACTCCAGTAAACGGGTACTTTGTATTAGGAAATATATGACTACCATGCTCCATTTTAATCAAGCAGTGGGGAAAAACAAGTCATCTCAATGATTAATGAAAAAGAAGCTGATAAAACTTAATATTTATTATTTCGGGGGAGAAAAAAACCCTGGTAACGGAAAAAGTATTTTTGTTTGTTTGTTTTTGCGGTACGCGGGCCTCTCACTGTTGTGGCCTCTCCCCGTTGCGGAGCACAGGCTCCGGACACGCAGGCTCAGCGGCCATGGCTCACGGGCCCAGCTGCTCCGCGGCATGTGGGATCTTCCCGGACCGGGGCACGAACCCGTGTCCCCTGCATCGGCAGGCGGACTCCCAACCACTGCGCCACCAGGGAAGCCCGGAAAAAGTATTTTTATAATATGATGATATCAGGCTTAATGGTGGCACTAGAGCTGAGGTTGGCAAACTAGGGCCCACAGGCCAAATCTGGCCCATGTGTTTTTGTAAGTAAAGTTTTGTTGGAACATAGCATGTACCCACTCATTTCCATGTTGTCGGTAGCTGCTTTATGAGGTAGAGTAGCTGTGAAAGAGGTCGCATGGCCTGAAAAGCCAAAATGCCAGAAAAGCTTTGCCAATTCCTGATCTAGAGCCGTTCCTGTTCCATTCAGGAAGGACCAAGGCAAGGTTGCTCACCAGTCCTTATGTATGAGCAGGCAGCTAACAAAAGGAGTACGTATGGACAATAAATACATGGAAAAGTGTATGAGCTCATCAATAATCAAAGAGATATAAATAAAAATGATAAAAGTATATACTTGGGCACCTGTTATGAGGTAGGCAGTATCCCAAGCATTCAGTCTAAGTAACCTCATTTAATACAAAAATCCTAGTAAGGAAGTTCTGTTTAGACTGCAGAAAATTCAGTCCCAGGAGGCTAACTGACAGGTAAAGACTGGCAAGGATTTTAAAAGACTGTGTTGGATGTAGGCAAAACTAGTAGGGAAATTGACCCTATTATTCAGCACCCATGGATGGTTATATGGGTGCCCCCTCTTTATAGGGTGGTCAGGTTAGAAGTGTCCATATGTAAAGTATGCTCATGAGTTGATTCAGCAGTCTCACCCGTGGAAATAACTGCCCAGTTATGAACGCACACGGCCCTAGGACCTTTGTTATAGCACGGTTTGTAACAGCAAAATAAGAAATGCTCACCAATAGGAGAATGTTTAAGTAACTGTGGTGCAGAAATTAAATGGCATATTGTTGGGAGACAAAATTAGGCTCATAACAACCTGGATGATCCCAACTCTATGAAACCATAAATCTCAGGGGAACTCTGTGGAAGAATGTCACCCACATGTTGACATTGATTATCTATGGGTAATGGGACTTTTAAGCAATGTTTGCTCTACCTTTTCCTAAGCGATTTTGTTTACAGTGAATGTGTACCATTTGATACACATGCAGCTTACTTATTCAGCACAGTTCCCAGAATAAGTAACTTCTCAGCCTGTGTCTGGTTTCTGCCTGCCTCTGAATGCTCCCACCGTAGCACTGTCCCAGGTGTTCACCCTGCTTGGCTTGCACTGGCCCTGTTCTGGTTCCTGGAATCTTGGCAAGGTGCCTGCAAATGTTTTTCCCTCCATCTGGAACCACAGTCCACCCAGCATAACCTTTGGGAAGCTGAGACCCATCCTTCTGGTCTGGGCTTAGACATCACTTTAGAAAGGACATTCATGACCAACCAGACCTAGTTGATCCTTCGTCACACCATTTATCAGAGTTTGCAAAGATTTGTTTACCTGTTTATTCTTCAAACAGCAGGTAGAATTCCTGCTGAAACGTTAACTCCTGTCATGCCAGCCTCTGTGGAGAAAGTTCCTGTGTCTTCCCATTTTATCCAGAATTTAAGATTCAGATCCTTAACATGGAAAAGCTTACTGGGGCCCTCACCTGTGATTCTCCCCCTGACTACATTTTAATCACAGAGGTAGCTTTAAAGAAAATGACAACATCAAACTTGTTTCCAGTGAAGATGTAGGAGTGCATGAACAACCTTAGCTCCCAATGTAACAATGAGTAAAACAAAGTTTAAAAATTATACTCTCCTATGGTACACTACCAAAGAGGGGCTGGGAGCAAGGAAGCCTTGGTGCATTTCAAGGAGGTGGCCCCTTCACAGGTGAGCACGCTGGGGACAAGCAACTTGTCTGGGTGCAGGTAGGCCTCAAAATTGGCTAGAGCAACTCTGAACAAAGAAGGAGAGAGCAGCAGAGCCCTGGACAACAGTGAGCGGGTGGAACAGAGCCCCAAACTTGGGGCAGGAAGAACTCCAAGTGCAAAAGTAATTTTCTCATCCTGAGAATCCCCTTAGCCTAGAATTTTGCTGTGTACCCAGAACAGTGAAGTGCTCATATCTTAGAGGCACCATTGAATCATTTTTGACAAATGCATATCAAGACACAACATTTCTATTACGCTAGCAAGTTCTTTCATGTCCCTTGCCTCAACCTGATAAAAGGCATCTACAAAAACCTACAGGTAATATCACACTCAATAGTAAAAAACGGAATGCTTTACCTCTAAGATGAGAACAAGACAAGGATGTCTGATCTCACCACTTCTATTCAACATTGTAATGGAGGTTCTAGCTAAGGCAATTGGCAAGAAAATGGAATAAAAGGAATCCGTATTGGAATGGAAGAAGTAAAATCTGTTATTTACAGATTAACTGATCTTCAATGTAAAAATCTGATGGAATCCAAAAAGAAAAAAACTATTAGGACTAGCAAGTGAGTATAGCAGGATTGCACAATACAAGATCAATATTCAAAAATCCCTGGTGGTCCAGTGGTTAAGACTCTGCGCCCCCAATGCAGGGGGCCCAGGTTCGATCCTTGGTCAGGGAAGTAGATCCTGCATGCTGCAACTAACATAGCCTACATGCCGCAACTAAAGATCTGGCACGTGGCAACGAAGATCCCACATGCCACAACTAAGACCCAGTACAGCCAAATAAATAAATATTTTTTTAAAAAAATTGCAGGGAGCTCCCTGGTGGTCTAGTGGTTAGGGTTCAGCACTGTCACTGCCATGGCCTGGGTTTTGCTATAAAAAGAGGAATATTTTCAGTGTTATTGGCCACAGTAACTTTTTCTTGTTGTTGTTGTTAATGATGTTCTTTTAGAGATTTTATGTGAGAATAATTTCCTTAGGTAAATATCCAGTTATTTTGGAAAGATCTTTTTCCATTTTGTTTTTGTTGTTTTTTAAACAGTTGAAATAACAAAAATCCTAAGTACTCAAAAAAATTAATTGCAGAGAGTTCCCTTGTGGTCTAGTGGTTAGGATTTGGTGCTTTCACTGCCGTGGCCTGGCTTCAAATCCCTGGTGGGGGAACTGGGATTCCTCAAGCTGTGCATGCAGTGGAAGCATGGAGTCCTGTCTTTTACTTTGTTTATGGTGTCTTTTGAAGAAAAGAAGGATTTTTAAAAATGTCTTTTTTCTTTCATTGTTTGTGTTTTATGTCTTCAGTTCAAAATCCCAACTATGTTTGGGTCCTAAAAATAGTAGCTTGTATTTTCTCCTAAAAGACTTTCTAATCAGCTTAATTGCAATATAATTGACACATAATAAAACTGCACGTGGACTTCCCTGGTGGTGCAGTGGTTAAGAATCTACCTGCCAATTCAGGGGACACGGGCTCAATCCCTGGTCCTAGAAGATCCCACATGCTGTGGAGCAACTAAGCCCATGCGCCACAACTACTGAGCCTGTGCTCGAGAGCCTGTGAGCCACAACTACTGAGCTCATGCGCTCTAGGGCGTGTGTGCCGCAAATACTGAGACTGCGTGCCACAACTACTGAAGCCCTTGTGCCTAGAGCCTGTGCTCCGCAACAAGAGAAGCCACCACAATGAGAAACCCGCGCACCGCAATGAAGACTATCCCCCGCTCACTGCAACTAGAGGAAGCCCGAACGCAGCAAGGAAGGCCCAACGCAGCCAAAAAAATAAATAAATAAAAATAAACTGCACGTATTTAAAGTGTACAATTTCATAAATTTTGACCTTTTTAAAAAAATTTTATTTTTGGCTGCATCGTGTCTTAGTTGCAGCACGCGGGATCTTCACTGCGGCATGCAGGATCCTTCACTGGGGTGCGCGGACTTCTCTCTCTAGTTGAGGCGCACAGGCTTAGTTGCCCTGCAGCACGTGGGATCTTAGTTCCCTGACCAGGGGTCGAACCTGCGTCCCCTGCATTGGAAGGCAGATTCTTTACCACTGGACCACCAGGGAAGTCCACTTGACTTTTTTTTTTTTTTTTTTTTTTGCGGTACGCAAGCATGTGGGATCTTCCTGGACCGGGGCACGAACCCGTGTCCCCTGCATCGGCAGGCGGACTCTCAATCACTGCGCCACCAGGGAAGCCCCCCTTGACCTTTTTTTAAAAAATTATTTTTCTTTTGGCCACGCCATGCGGCTTGTGGGATCTTAGATCCCCTATCAGGGATTGAACCCGTGCCCCCTGCAATGGAAGCGCTGAGTCTTAACCACTGGGCCTCCAGGGAAGTTCCAATTTTGACGTTTAAATCTGTAAAACCATCACCACAATCAAGAAAATGAATATGACCATCACCCCCGCACGTTTCTTCATGCCCCTTGAAGTCCCTCCTCCTACCTCTCCACATCCTTCCCCATTCCTCTGTTCCCAAATGACCACAGGTCTGCTTTCGGTTACTATAGATTAGCTTGAATTTTCTAGACTTGTATATAAATGGAATGATATGTTGCATACTCTTTTTTTTGGGGGAGGGGGAACTGGCTTCTTTTACTTAGCATAATTATTTTGATATCCATCCATGTTGTTGCATGTATCAATAGGTCATTCCATTTTACTGCCGACTAGTATTCCATTTTATGGATCTACCACAATTTGTTTATCCAGTCATTTGTTGGTGGACATCTGGGTTGTTTCCAGTTTGGAGCTATTACAAATAAAGCTGCTATGAACACTAGTATAGTGTACAAGTCTTTGTATGGACATATATTTCCTTTTCGATAAATAGGATTAAAACATCTGGATCATACAGTAGGTGTAAGTTCAGCATTTTAAGAAACTGTCATTTTGTTTTTCAAAGTGGTTATACCATTTTACATTCCCATCAGCAAAGTATGAGAGTTCCAGTTCCTCCACATCCCCATCAATATTTGGTATAGTCAGTCTTTTTGATTTTTGCAACTCCAGTAGATGTGTATTGGATTCTCGTTGTGTTTTTTTTGTTTTGTTTTGCGGTACACGGGCCTCTCACTGTTGTGGCCTCTCCCGTTATGGAGCACAGGCTCTGGACACGCAGGCTCAGCGGCCATGGCTCATGGGCCTAGCCGCTCCGCGGCATGTGGGATCTTCCCGGACCGGGGCACGAACCCACGTCCCCTGCATTGGCAGGCAGACTCTCAACCACTGCGCCACCAGGGAAGCCCTTTTTTTTTAAATAAATTTATTTATTTAATTTATTTATTTTTGGCTGTGTTGGGTCTTTGTTGCTACGTGTGGGCTTTCTCTAGTTTTGGTGAGCAAGGGCTACTCTTCATTGCGGTACGCAGGCTTCTCATTGCAGTGGCTACTCTTGTTGCAGAGCATGGGCTCTAGGTGCGCGGGCTTCAGTAGTTGTGGCACACAGGCTCAGTAGTTGTGGCTCACGGGCTCTAGAGCGCAGGCTCAGTAGCTGTGGTGCATGGGCTTAGTTGCTCTGTGGCATGTAGGATTTTCCCAGACCAGGGATTGAACCTGTGTCCCCTGCATTCTTAACCACTGCGCCACCAGGGAAGCCACTGATTGTGGTTTTAATTTATATTTCTCTAATTACTATTGATGTTGAGCATCTTTTCAAGTGCTTGTTTGTCATTTGCCCATCTTCTTTCATGAAAATATTTTACTCTTTTTTCAAAAATTGGGTTCTAATTGTTGATCCACTTTAATTTTTGTACACAGTGTGAGTTAAGGATCAAAGTTCTTTTAAAAAAAATAAATAAAGATAGATATCCTGTTGTTCCAGTACTACTTGTTGCAAAGGCTATCCTTTTCCCACTGTGTTGCCTTCTGTGCCATTGTAAAAAATCAGTTATCCATAGATGTATGGGTTTATTTCTGAACTATATATTCTGTTTCATTGATGTATCTGTTTATACCAATACCATGCTGTTTCGATTATGTACTTTATAATAATTTTTGAGATCAGATAGTGCTAACTCTCCAATTTTCTTCATTTCTGAGTTGTTTTTATTATTCTAGGTCTTTGCATTTTCATATGTCCATGTCTACAAAAACTCCTGCTGGGATTTTGATTGGAAATGCATTGAATCTATATATTTGAAGATAATTGACATCCTAACAATATTGAGTCCTCTAACATATAAACAAGTATATTTCTCTATTTGTTTAGGTCTTCTTTAATTTCTGTCAGCAATATTTTGTTTTCAATGTATGAATTCTTCACATCTTTTGTCACATTTATCCCTAAGTATTTCATATTTTTTGATGTTGCGGTAAATGGTATTTTTACTATTTTCAATTTCCAGTTGTTCATTATAAGCATATAAAAAGGCAATTGTTGGGACTTCCCTGGCTGTCAAGTGGTTAAGACTTTGCATTGCAGTGCAGGGGGGTGCAGGTTCGATCCCTGGTTACAGAGCTAAGATCCCACATGCCTCATGGCCAAAAAACCAAAACATAAAACAGAAGCAATACTGTAACAAATTCAATAAAGACTTTTAAAAAATGGTCCACGTCAAAAACATAATCTTTAAAAATAATGCAAAAATAATAATAATGCAGTTTTTAAATAATGCATTAGGACTCCATGCTTCCACTGCAGGGGGCCGGGTTCGATTCCCTAGTTGGGGAACTAAGATGCCACATGCCACACGGAAAAAAAAAAAAACACTGAAAGGATAAATCTTTCCTTATATATGGAGCAAAAAATGCAAGTTGCAGATGAAATCTTATGCATTTATATGAATGCAAAACGTGCTTTGTATTGCTTTCGAACACAGGCATGTAAAGTTTCAGGAAATGTATGGAGTGATCCACATCTCATTCAGGATAGTGGCTGCCTCTGGAGGAAGGGGGGGTTTCTATTGGCGAGGGAAACACAGGTGTTTCAGCCTGTAGGTTGATTTTTTTTTTTTAGCTTAGGAGTGTGTTCACAGGGTTTCATTGAATCTCTGACGAGTTTACTATATTTTACATGTTTTTCTTAAAAGAAAAACGAGCAGACGTCTAACGTTAAATTCCAGAGATGTGAGAATTTGGATGCTGAATGGTGAACTGGTGGCAAAGAAAAGCTGTGGAAGGGGGAGCTTCTGCATGGTCACCAGCAGTAAAGAAGCATCTTGACGTCCTTCTGGGGGGACTCAGAATCCCATAGTGTTGACCTTAGTGACTCTTGGACTCTTAGCTGGAGAAGATGAGTTAATCCTAGGATTTGAGAGCATAAGGTAACTTCAAGTCTAGCTGACTTGTGCTAGTTATTATACTATTGGCGACCCTACAACCCAGTTCATAAAATACCCTACTTATTCCAAGTAATGTATCCTGGACTCCTCCTCCCTTTACCTTAAAAAAAAAAAAAAAAATTAATTAAGTTTTATTTATTTATTTTTGGCTGCACTGGGTCTTCCTTGCTGCGTGCAGGCTTTCTCTAGTTGTGGCCAGTGCGGGCTACTCTTCATTGTGGCGTGCAGACTTCTCATTGCGGTGGCTTCTCTTGTTGCAGAGCATGGGCTCTAGGTGCGCGGGCTTCAGTAGTTGTGGCTCATGGGCTCTAGAGCGCAGGCTCAGTAGTTGTGGCTCATGGGCTCTAGAGCGCAGGCTCAGTAGTTGTGGCACACGGGCTTAGTTGCTCTGCAGCATGTGGGATCTTCCCAGACCAGGGCTCGAACCTGTGTCCCCTGCATTGGCAGGTGGATTCTTAACCACTGAGCCACCAGGGAAGCCCCCCCTTTACCTTTCATTCTTATCTGGTTATGAGGAAATGGAACCAGCTGAAGCCCTTCACGTGGCATGGAGTGACCACATTTTGGGCACCTCTCAGAGGAAGGGCATGTCCACAGACAACCTAGATTCTCCTACTGCTCTGGTCTCTCCCCACTCAGAAACCTCAGTAACAGCTCAGACGTAGCCCAGACTTCCATAATGTGGCATCCAAGATGGCTGTTCGCCCCAGCGTTTGCCACCTCGTGACAGAGAGAACGAGGTAGCATCCAACAAGCTGGGGTACCTGAAGTAGGAGAGGGCCTGGGTATTAGGGAAGCAGTATCATCACACACCTGTAACCCACTCCCCACCGGGCCCTGGTGAACTGCTCTGCATTGAGAGGCCTCCTCCATGCCCTTCCTTGTTCTGGGTATTACAGACTGGACCGCAGCCCATGATGCACAACCTTTAACCTACTGCCTGTTGGCGCTACCTTTTGAACGCTAACATTTCCACAATCTGACCACGGATCACCACCCACGTTGATTACTGCATTGGTACAAAGGTCACTCTGGTCCTTCCCTCACCCTCTTTAACTCTGCTCTCCACACAGAAGCCACAGTGAGTGATCCTTTGAGGAGGCCAGAGCCCATGACTGCTCTGCTCAGAACCATGCCCTGGCTCACAGCCAGAGCCATTCCGATGCCCCTAAGGCTCTCTGCAATTGGCCACTCTCTGACCACCATGCTGTCCCCCCAACTAATCAGTCGAAACTAGGGTGGAGAAATGAACAGGCATGGCGAATAAGGAGCAAGGAGGAAGGGGCTAGGGAGCTCTGAGCAAGGGTCACCCCCAACACAGCTGGGAAGGAGGCCTCGGTCCAGCGGACTCAAATTCGTCTCGGTAACAAGGAGTAGGGCTTCATATGTGAGGGGAAGCTCAAAATTAGGTTCCTTGTCCAAAAAGGGTATCCTAACAACCACTTCCTTACAATCTTTTAACTACTGAACGAAAAGGAAAGTGCTCAGACTTCAACCAAGTACCCACCGCTAAGTGCGGCTACAGCAATCCGCCGTTTTACGGACGGGCAAACTGAGGCTCGCCGACCGGCGATTTACCGAGGCCCCCTAACGTCAGGCAGCGGTGGCTGGGGAGCGCGGTCCGCCGCTGGGAAAGCACCGCCCGCCTCGCCGAGGTCTCTGGCACGGCGGTCCGGGTAAATCCCTAGAAGGAGGAACTCGGAGGCCGAGCACCTCCAGGAACTTGCCAAGGTCTAACCGGAAGCGCTCCGTCTGGAACTACCACTCCCAGCAGCCTGCGCGGCGCGTCCCGGTCGACGCCGGGCCGGGGTGGGTGGGGGGAGCGACCGCCATTGTCCGCTGCTGAGGTGAGGCGGTCGCCCAGTTCGTGGGGTTGCTACTGCTGCTGCTGCCGCTGCCGCTGCCGCTGGCCGGGAGGTCGGGAGAACGGGTGGAGAGAGCCGACGCCTACACTCGCGGCGGGCGCGACGCCAGGGCAGGTCCCTCGGCCCGCCTACGGCCTCGCGGCCGCGCTGGAACAACTGGGCGGGCCTGGGTGAGCCCTGCGCGTCGGGCCTTTGTCCTCCGGGCGGGAACCCCAGACGCACGGGCGAGCCGGGCCGAACGTCCCCGGCGAAGCAAACGCGAGCTTGTTAAGTCGCCCGCGAGGAGCGGCGGGCACTGGCCCTCAGGGGTGCGAGGCCGGTGGTTGCGAACCAGGTGAGTCCGGCCGTTCCCGGGACGGGCTGAGAGCATCGCACCCGCGGCAGGGTTGCGGAGGAAATCCGGGGCGGGAGGCCAGGAAGCAGGAGGCGAGGACCCCTCCGAGGCCGTTCCGGGGAGTCTACCTTTCCTTCCCTGGCGGGCGTTTCTCGTACGAGTCCGTTCTCATCTGACGCAGAGGCAAGTCAAAAGTGGGTTGGGAACAGCCCAGGGCTCCTTTAAACGTACAGTGACCGAGGACTTTGTCAAGTTGCAGGCAAGAGTGCAGAATACTCAGTGTGCCGACTTGGAGTTCGGGCGCAGATCCCGGTGCCCCTGGTGCCCAGTGGGCGTCCCAGCGCTTTGTGCACTCTCCCAGGAATCCGCAGAGCTCTGCCAATGGGCGTCGGGCCCTCAGAGAGGTGCGGGACTTGCATAAATAAGCCTAGAACTTAGGGAGTTGGGGATGGTCTGGGCTCCAAACCCGGCTTTCTTTTGGCCTCTGCACCAGCAGAGACAGACAGACTTGGGCCTGGTAGGTCTTCCAGGTGGATTTTTTTTTTTTTAAAGATAAAATTTACGTAACATAAAATTAACCATTTAATCGTACAAGTCAGTGATTTTGTTGTGCTTTCAGAACGTTGTGCAGTCATCACCACTATATAATTCCAGAACATTTTCATAACAACCCCCAAGGAAAAAACCCCTGAACCCATTAAGCATTCATTCCCCCGTTCCTCCTTCCTTTCTGCTCTAGACAGCCACTTACATGTGAAGGTTGTACGTAGATTTTATAGTAATTTTCGTTAAATCAACAGAAAAGCTACCTTGTCCTTGTCAGTAGCTGTCTCTTGAGAACTGTTGACAAATTTCTGCTCTCTTATTCTGGAACGTGCCCATTTTTCAGCTAATTCTTGTCACCCTTCATTTCTCTTAAGAAATTCTGTTATGTTTTTGACATGTAAATTGTATTCTTATAATGCTCTGTAGGAGTCTTTTTGTTTCTGTGGATGTGTTCTCTTTATTCCCACTGGATCTTCTGTGAGGAAAGACCATTTTTTGTCTTTTTACACTTTTATCACTAGGTGGGTATTGCAGTTGCTTTCAGTAATCACCCAAATCCACTGCTCCTGGGCAAGCTCCTGGTGGATTAATCCTGCAGGATGGCAGCCATCAACCCGTGGGCTTCGTGGGGTGAGTACAAATCTTGTTTCTTCTGGGCCTCCCCAGCAATGATGTGCTGGAGAGGGGCTGAGCGCTTTTGGGATTGGGGAGGGGGGGGGTCTCTCTGTCTTGGTATAGAATTAGAACTGAGATTTCTTTAAAAAGTTGGTTGTTTGTATTAAAGTCAGTGTAATTTTTGTGTATTTCATAGTCATCTCCTGAGAAGTCTCATTAGTTTTAAGAGATTTTCTAGTGATTTGTGTGACAGTCGTACGTACAACCAAAATTTCTCTACTACTCCCGTATTTTTTTACTATTATTATTGTTTCTTATTATATAGCAGTGTTTTATGATATAAGAACAATGTTAAAATAGCGTCAGTGGTGTGTTTTATCTTTAAGCGAGCTTTCATGTATCTGTCATTAAAGATATCAAAGGAGTATCTTTCTACTAATATTTTTTAAAAATTAAGTAATGTTAAATTTTATCAAATACCTGTCCAGCCTATTTAAGTAGTTCTGTCCTTAATTGTTCTGTTGCTGTGTCATATCAATAAAATTCCTGAAAGTGACCCACCTGTGCATTTCTGCTATAAATCTAGCTTATGTTGGGTTTGTTTCACACGTCCTTGGTCTCTACTTATGGAATTTTGTTTTGCGCATTAGTGAGACAGTTCTCCTTTTCCATTTGTAGCCTTTAGTCACTAGGATTGGTGTCACAGTTCTTTCCTTTCCTTGTCCTAACCGGATCCTCTGATGCAGGTATCTTTACGGACCAGTCCTGGGGGATGGCGGCTGTTGACCCGTGGGCCTCCTGGGGTGAGTCAAGAACTTTTGTCCCCGGACTTCCCTGGTGGTCCAGCAGTTAAGACTCCACACTTCCATTGCTGGGGATGCGGGTTCCATCCCTGGTCGGGGAACTATGATCCGACATGCCTCATGGTGTGGCAAAAAAACAACTTGTGTCCCCATCAGCCACATTGGTTAACATGTTGTGGTCTCTCCCAGCAGTAACCTGCCATTGCCAGGGAATTAGAGCTGGGGAGGAGGGGGCCGGGGGCGTGGGGTCTGGTCCAGCTCTGTCTCTGGGCAGAGCTGGAACAGAGAGGGACCAGAACACTCCACTGGGGGGTACAGTGTGATGATATCTCCAGGACAGGATGCATGAGAATGAATGTGTGGCGACTTAGGGCTCAGGCCTAGAAAGTCTGTGAAGAGACACTTTGTCTAAGACAGTACCTCAGCAAGGGGAGATTGTCCCTGTGTTTAGGCACATTCTTTAATTTCTCGGCCCCACTGCTTTCATCTATAACATGAGGAGGTAGGGTTTTTCCCTTGCCCAAAGGGGAAGGACAGGGTCAGGAGGTGGGACTCATGTGGTCACACTTCTGGGAGGGAGAACTGCCTCTGTGACTTCACTTTCCTCCCCCAGCTCTGTGTCCTCAGGACTCTACCTGGTGCGTGGAGAAGACCCCTGAGGAGAGAAGGAGGGCCCCCAGGCTTCCGACAGCCCAGGCCCAGGTGAGATGGGGCTTCTGCTTTTTTGTGAAGGGTTGCCCTGTTCCCTAAGGTGTTCAGGGTGTTCCCGGCCATCCCAGTCGATGTACTTCCTCAGTTTACCACAGCTAGGGTTTGGGTAAAGAAGGAATCAGCTAGAAGTTTATTGATTCCTGAGCACAGGTCGGGAGAATTCTGTTTTCCATGACTTGCAGCCTCACTGTCAACCAGCCTGTTCAGAGTCCCGGGCCCCAGCTGTGCTGTGGGCTGTTTGGTGGATAAGGGGCAACCCTCTTCTGGCTAGCATCCCCCTCCTCTTTTTCCCTCCCACCTTCCCTCATGTATTCAGTGCCTGACTCAGATTGATGATGTCTGCTGAGCTCTGTGCTTACTGGGAGGAGAACAAGGTGAAGTGTTAGCCCCCATCCTGAGGAGCTCCCATGCCACTTTCCAGGGTGGTTCAGTCAACTGCTGAGACCTCACCATCTGCCTAGTGCTGCACATGTGGTTCAGGACACAAGCCAGAGGTGCTTAGGGAGGCCCTGAGCCCTGGAGGAGCTGAGCACAACTGATGCCTTGGGAGAGTCTGCATAGAGGCCGTGGGGCACAGAGCACCTGGGGTCCTTTTGCTGTGGAGAGGAGGCTGCCTGGGAGATAGAACACCCCTGAGCCAAGGGGTAAAGGGGACACATCAGCCGGGTGGGCATAGCCTGCTGAGCAGGAATCTGGCCTCCTGTAGCACCATGGGGACACACCACATGACCAGCATCTGGGTGAAGGCTGGCCATAATTAGATTTTAGGCCAAAGAGGCCAGGACAAACCCAGCCGCATCCTGAATGCCCGCCACCGAGCTGGGTCTCCATCCTGGTGGTAATGAGAAGCCTCAGAAGTGTTGGAAGCAGGAGGAACCAGGGTCTAGAATGTGGCTGGAAAGTTGCCTCTGGCAGGGGAGTGGAAAGAATGGGGGCTGTGGGAAGCAGGCTGGCGTATCAGGCTTCAGTCTGACCAGCACCTGGAAGCCAGATCTGAGAGGTATAAGGGAGTCGAAGCAGGAGGACTTCGTGACTGTAAGGGCACAAGGGTGGCTCCCAAGAGAAATAGGGCAGCACAGTTCATGATGTTGGACAGGTGTCATCTCCCTCCTCCCCTCTTGCTCAGCCCCCTTACTTGAGGCAGCCACTTAAAAAAATTTTTTTAATAAAAGCTTTATTAAAATATTAATGTACCATAAAGTTCAACTTTTTAAAGTATGTAGCTCAGTGGGTTTTAGTATATTCACAGAACTCTGCAGCCATCACCAGTATCTAATTCTAGAACATTTTCATCATTCCAAAAAGAAACCCTATACTCATTAGTAGTTACTCCCTGTTTCCCCAGCTCTCAGATCCTGGCAACCACTAATCTACTTTCTCTGTATTTGTGCATTATGGGCATTTCATATAAAGGGAATCATATAATATATGGCCTTTCGTGTCTGGCTTTCATGGGTCCTGTATGTCATATCGTTTATCAGTATTTTATTTCTTTTCATGACTTGGAAGTAGCCATTTTTAACTTATGTTTCAGTTTCTTAGGGTTTTTTCTAAATGAGAGATTTTTATCCTAGTTCTTCACATTTACATGTACTCTAATGATTGTCTGCTGTGAAAGACAAAAATAGTTTCATTACTATATTTAGATTTTTCATTTCTAAGTTAAAATAATGAATCAAGCAAATGTGAGATACTGTGATATAAAAATGTTAATAACATCTCTGCTTAGCATTACGCCTCCCGCCAAGTTAAAAAAAAAATTAACAAAACCTCCCACGGTTTCAAGGCTGACTGGTGAAGCACGTCGTGAGTATGCTGTCCCTACGTCACAGCACTGCCGTCTCAGGTCTGAGCCACGTAATGAGGGCATCACAGCTTGGGTGACTGGTGTTCGTTGCTCTTACAACGTGCGGTCATTTGCAGACAATCGATAGTGAAGCTAGACTAGGCTGAAAGATGGGCCCTGATCAGTTGCTTGGGAACAGAAGTTAGCTGTAGTGAAGTGCTGTGAAGAAATTCTAATAACCACTGTGCTGCACTCTGCTGTCCATTTATATGAGGGTTTCTGAGAGTTATTAGAGTTAATGCCGAGAAAATAAAATGGAGAATTAAAATAACACCACCCTCTAATGTCTGAAGAGTTGTGATTTGTGAGCATGTACTCCTGGCCCCTTCCCACACCCACTTTGGATCTTTCCCTGTGGGAAACTCAAGACTTGAATGTGTGAGTTTTGTATTAAGTGAGGTCTTGGGAACACAAACAAGAGCGCCTTATCCCTCTATTGTTCCCTCCAAATTAAATATTTATTGAAATAAAGCATTCACCTGGTGAAAATATCAAATGCTGTCATCCCTTGTTATCTGAATAGTCTGATCTTACAAACATGTTGGTTAGTGAAGTTTCAGCTAGTGGGAGCCCATTATTTTGATGAATAGGGAAAATAATAATAATATCCCAGCCCATATAAAAACCCCAGCCAGACCCCCCCAAATATGGAAACTCTCAAACCCCCACTATAACAATCCACCAAAGATTTCTGCACAGTAAACATTCACATAAAACACGAATTAATGGAATACTCTGCCTCCGTCTTTGGTTGTTTCAAGGTTGAGCACAGTTTAGTTATATTTTCCTTCTCTGCAAAGAGCTTGCCCTAAAATATTAATAAATAATGAAATTCTGAAGATGCCAGAGAGTATATCTGGACTTCCCCAGGTTCCATGAAGGGGCCAGTTGTCAGAGAATTCAGGTAATGCAGGAGCAATCAGATGAGATCCTTAGCTGTCAGGTAAACAGCTAAGACCCAGCTCAGAACCCCCTACATCCTCTCTTAAACCCTCCTGTAGTTTAAACGTGAGGCTGGTGTGTCAGATTTCATAAAGTGCCTTAGAATGTCTAGATAAATGATTATACTTTTGTACAAAGCAACATGTCCAAAAATGTTTACAAGAATTTGGGTGAAACATCTTTGCAAGTCATCCTGGCAGATGATATTTGGAAAGTAGGAGTTCAGGTAAGGGTTACCTGTGAAATGGAAGGGCTCACTCCTACCTAGGGGGTGGGGCCCTTCTCTGTTCTGCTTCCTTGCTCCTAAGCATTAGGTAACTGAGGCTTTCGTCTCCCAGCCCCACCTCTTGTCTCCACAGCTGGTGAGACTAGGTGCCTATCTTCTGCTGTCTCTTCTGTTTCATCACCAGCCTCAGTTTTGCATTTTCTTTGTATCCCTAAGGCCTCCAGGAGTTGTGGGCCCTGACATTGGGGCATATTCTGCTAGGGGTCTTTTTTCTTCCTGATTGGCAGTCCATGGGCCCTTCCAGTTTTGATGACATCTCTCAACTCTGAAAATATTTTTTATTTAAATTTTTATTTTGACAAATTCCATAACTGCAGAAAAGTATAAAAAGTGATTAAACAGGGTCCCACTCCAAATCATCGTTAATGTTTTGCCATATTTACCTTTCGTTCTTTTTAGTCCCCAATCACATTCTTTTTGCACCCTTCCTGACAACAACCACTTAAGATACGTACACAGTTAATCCATTTTCATACTCATGTAGGTAATAAACTATATAGACATTATAAGGTAATAATCTGTTTTTTTTAACAATGCTTTTTCTACATGCAGCTTTTCTACACCTTTCAAGGTCAATTTTGAGGTATATCCATGTGGTAGATGAAGGTCAAGTACATTCCTTTTGCCACATCAGAGAAGCGCACTCTACTCATCTCTTCTGAGAATAAGCTTATAAGTCCTTCCTCCTTCCACCATTTTTCCTATTCCAAACAAAGCCCTGTGGAAGTTCTTTTAGTTTTGCTTTGTGCGCACATTTAAGTTTATCTAGGCATACCGTGGAGGCAGCACTTCGCTGAGTTTTAGGGTGTTTGTGTTTTCCGTGTGACCAGTGCTTCCACGTGGCTCTGAAAGGGCGAAGCCCCTTCTCAGTCTCCCCACTCAGAAGGTGCATATTTCCCTGCATCTTTGCTGCCACTTGACAATATTAATATCGGGTCTTTTAATTTTTGTTTACCTCAAGACCACAAAAGTTTATTGCATTATTTTAATTTGCATGTTTTTGATTGCTAGTGAGGTTGAATATCTTTAAATGAGTTATTGGCCATCTGTATTTCCTTCTTTCTCTGTGTGTCTCCCATCCCTAGATTTCTGTAGATTCTCACATTAATATGTAGGCATTTCATGCTTTCTGGATCCTGAGTCTTTGCCACATATGGATTATCTTCTCCAAATCTATAGCTTGTCTCTATGGTGTCTTTTATCAGTGAAATGTTTTTTGGTATATTTTTGTCAAATATATCTGTCTTTGTTTATGGCTAGTGTTGGTTGTGTCTTTTTTAAAGAAGTCCTGTGTTTTTAAAAAATTCCCTCCTGTTTTCCTTTATATTATTTTTCTGAGGTTGTCTGTTAGATGGCCCCCTGACTGCTGTGTTTTTTATCTCTTCTTCATATTCTCTGAGCCTCTTGTATTATCCTGTCCTATTTTATACCGAATCTTTCCAATCTGGGAATTAGAAGTATAGGTCATTGGAAGTTGGATGTGACTGCTGCCTGGATTCTCTGTCCTCTTAGCTGCTAAGTTCAGTCTTTCCACCTGTGCAGATGTTCCTCATGTGTGCAGGGGCCCTCTGGTCTGTCTTTGTTTACCAGAGAAGAGCTGTGGGGCTGTGTCTGACAGATCTGCTTTGTGCACCTGAGCAGGTCTGGTTCCTGATTGACCTGCCTCTAGGTCTCTGTCTCTATCTGTCTCTCTCCCTCCCTCCCCTGACAAGTCTCACTCTAATCTCCATGTGCCTCGGTGGGCCAGGATCACCAGGTCGGTTCTGCTTCCGGTTTCCTGGGTGCACAGCTGGCTGTTAGGCCACAGACCCCTCCCCTCTCCCTGTGTTGGGCTGAAGGGGTCTCAACTCCAGGGTAGTCACTCATCCAGGCAGCCTGAGAACCTCCCACACTCTTGAGTATGAGGAGGGTCCAGGGAGTTTTTCCCACAAGGCAAACTGGCTGGCAGGGATGTGGGGCAACTGGCAAAGTTGTCCTGAATATAGAGGTCCTGAGTATAGACCTTGCAGCCTGATTCTCCTGGCTTCAGTGGCATTTAAGCTCAGAGCCCAGAGCCTCTCTTGGGGTCCTGCTTCCCCTGCAGCCCCTTCTAATGTGCAGGCCTGGGGTCTCCTTTGCTCTGGTTCCTTGGTCACCCACACTCATCTCCCCATCTTGCGGGAATGTGTAGAACACCACATGCCGACGGCCTCTTCGCTGGCCCGTTATGTCGTTTACTTTCTTAAAAAAAACTTTTGGAGGGGCTTCCCTGGTGGCGCAGCGGTTGAGAGTCCGCCTGCCAATGCAGGGGACGCGGGTTCGTGCCCCGGTCTGGGAGGATCCCACATGCCACGGAGCTGCTGGGCCCGTGAGCCATGGCCGCCGAGCCTGCGCGTCCAGAGCCTGTGCTCTGCAGCAGAGGAGGCCACATCAGTGAGAGGCCCATGTACCGCAAAAAAGAAAAAAAAACAAAAAACTTTTGGAGATTTAAAAACCCTATGAGTTTCCTGTTGCCGCTATAACAGATTACCACAAACTTAATGGCTTAGAACAACATGAATTTATTCTCATGTTCTGGAGTCTGAAGTCTAGAATGGGTCTACAGGGTTGTGTTCTTTCTGGAGGCTCAGGGGAGAGGCTGCTTCCTTGCTTTCACTCGCTTCTAGAGGCTACCTGCCATTTCTTGGCTCATGGCCCCTTCCTCCATCTTCAGTGTGCATCACTCCGACCTCTGCTTGCATTGTCTCCTTTTCTCTGACGCATACACTCCTACCTCTTTCACTTGTAAGGACCCTTGTGATTTCATTGAGCCCACTGGATAATCCAAGATAGTCTTCCCATCTCAACATCCTTAACGTAATCACATCTCTGTAACTATGACATCTTTTGTCATATTAAGATAACAGTCATTAGGACATGGACGTCTTTGGCAGTGCCATTATTCAGCTGACGACAGACACCCACATTCACCAGCCTTAGCAAATGTCACCTTCCAACTTTCTGCCTTTTCATTTATTCGGACAACCTTTTAAAAAAAAAAACTAGAGTATTTTATAGCAAAGCACAGATACTGTATCATTTCACACTTCTGTGTATGTATCTGAGACATTCATACCTTTTAGAAGATAAACACAATACCTTTACACACCCAACAAAATTAACAACAGTAATTCCTTACTATTACCTAATACCAAGCCCGTATTCACTTTTCCCCACTTGTCCCCAAAATGTCTTTTGCAGTTGTTATTCAAATCAGGATCCAAGCAAGGACCACATGTTGCATGTGCTTCATATACTGAAGAAACCAGGTCACCTGTCTTGGGTTGCCTGATTTTGCCTTTGTGATGTCCTTGGATGAGTTCCTCTATCCAGCTGTCTCCCATAGACTGGTAGTTGAGCTAGAGGATAGGGCAGATTCAGGCTTTGTATTTTGGGCAAGAGTACTTGATAGGTGGTGCTGGGTCCTTCTTACTGTCCTGCATCAGTGGGCACAGGTTGTCTGGTTGGCCCATTTCCAGGTGATGTGATGGATTAGTGGCTGCAGGTATTGTCAGCCTGACCCCTCCATCGGACATTTCCCTTATGCCTTTCACCTGTGGTTTAGCAGTCATCGATGATCATTGCCAATGTCCACTATTTTAGTAGGGGTTGCAGAATCTCTCTAGTGATTTCATTCCTTCTGTGTCAATTAGATGTGGTGGTTTTGTTCCTTTTTAAGTATGTGTATGGGGATCTGTTGGGGTCTTGGGAAGGGTGGGAGGTGAACTTGTGGCTCAGTCCACCAGCTTGACAGCTGCCACGGTGTGGGCTTGGACCTTGTTAACTATTGAACTTTGAAGCCATCTAAGTAGGTGCCACCCTTGAGATTAGGGAGCATGAGATGGGCACACCAGGAGCACCCTGGGCAGGAAGCCTGGCCTCCCAGCTGGTCTCCCAAGTGTGATCACTCTGAAAGTGCATTGAGTTTAGGTATGGTGCACACTTCGGTTTTGTGCACTTCTCTACCCGAATGTTACATTTAAGTAAAAAAGTTTACCCCAAAAATGTAGAAGCAGCAGCCAGTAAGGAAACTGAGGCCTGGGCATATCTGTAAGAGGAAAATAAACAAATTGGAATGGAGGAGTCCAAGGCTAAGGAGGGTTTCACTAAAGGAGGTTGTGAATAGCAGTTGTAAATGCTTTTTGGAGTTAGAGAATCACTGGAGCAGAAGCAGTTCTGTGTTTCAAGCCAGTCATGTGAAGGTGGAGGAGGAGCAGTTCAGACCAGCAGAGCAAAGTCTACACTGAAGACCAGCATGAGGGCTGACCCTGGTCGGGGATGACTCTCAGGACAGAAAGGAAGGCCACATGTGGGTGGAAGAGAAGTGAATAGCAGGCTGTGAGGAAGTGGAGGGATGCTTGGAGTGGAAGCGCACTGCACGTGTATCCATTCAGTGGGTGTTTGTCCTGGGGATGATTCTGCACTGACATGGAAGGGAGGACTGTAGTGCACAGACAGCCCAAGAGGGGGCCCTAGGAAGGAACAGGGGCTGTGGGGTTTGTCTCTCACTCACCTCCCATGAAGCACAGCTCGCTCCCCAGTCCCCCTGCCACAACCTGGAAGTGCCCAGATACCTGAGGCTCACGTTGATGGCTTCAAAGGACTGTAAGGGATGCATTCATTGCAAAAATCAGACTTCCCTTTAGCTTTCTAGTGGGTATTCTTGGTTCTCTTTTTCCTAAAAACATCAGTTTGAACTTTTTCAAAATCAAAGTGCTTTGACAGCAACTGTAAGTGATTCTCTTTGGCTTGGGCTGCTCTGCTTAATCCTGTCTCACCCCTACCTCCAGTCCTTGGGTCGGAGACAATCTGGGAGTGGAAGTGTCTCTGCTGTGGCCAAGAAGGCGGTCACCCTTCCAGGTCCTAGATCTACACGTGGAGCAGACTTGAGCCCCAGGTTCTCTGGTCTGTGACCAGGGCTCAGAGTCTGCATCCACCCTGGTCCTGGTCTCGGTCTTATTAAGTGTCTGCAGTTCCAGAGAAGCAGGAGGAATTGCCCAGATGGGAGTCCTGTCCATACTAGCCAGTGTTAACTAGAATTGGGCAAGATCTTAGGAGAGACCTGCTCATCTCTATTGTGGTTATTGTGGGCCCAGATATCTAACTCCCTAAGAGTACATCCCAAATGCAGGGCCCTGGGTGGCTCCCAGTGAGACCTGACCCACGTCAGTGAGAACACCGAACGCATCCAGGACAATTCCTCTATGTACTATCTCCTCTCCAGGGCTGTCAGCCTCACTCCATCCCCAGAAAACACTGGAGTGGGGGTAGCTCCGGGCTGAGGAGGAACATGTGTGCTCTTTTAGGAACCAGTGACCTTCAAGGATGTAGCTGTGGACTTCACCCAAGAGGAATGGGGGCAGCTGGACCCTGTTCAGAGGACCCTGTACCGTGATGTGATGCTGGAGACCTATGGGCATCTGCTCTCTGTGGGTAAGGCGGGGACTGCCCAAGTAAACGATGCTGTCCTCCTTGCAATCCCCTGTGCTACTCTCTGTTTACAAGCTTACGAGGCCTCAGAAGGGCTGAGATGATCTTGAGCCCTGAGGTTCAAGGATGAAATCCCTATTGCTCATAAAGCATGAAGTGAAGTCATTCATGAGAAATAGACAAGGGAGGGTTACATGGCTCTACAAGTCTGTGTTTTTCCTCCACATGTAGGGAATAAGATCGCCAAGCCTGAGGTCATCTCCCTGTTGGAGCAAGGAGAAGAACCGTGGTCGGTGGAGCAGGCATATCCTCCTCAAGGCACTTGTCCAGGTGAGAGCAGACCCCAGGTGGGAGCGAGGAACCTTCCTCCAAGCCATCCTTGTTTGGGAAGTGGGCTGAGGCCGTGAGGAGTTCACTTCCTCAGAGATGGTCACAGTTCCTTCCAAGGAGCTTTATCCCTTTATCCCTTGACTTTTTTCTGCTGTTGATTCAGAGTAAAGATGCCCACCTTTTTAACACGGTAACAGTTTTTGTATGCTACAGTTTCCCTCCTCACCTCTCATGTTCTTTGCTTTGTCCCTTTGTCTAAGAAGACTTCTCATTCATTTACCTGCTTTTTAATGTTTTATTGCCAAACTTGTGGCCTGTAGTCACTAACTCTTCTTACAAAAAAACAACAAAAAATGTTTTTTTAATATAGATAATGTATTTACATGATTCAAAAAACTCAAAGCTATATAAAATGTGTAAGCTGAAAAAAATCTCATTTATACTCTCTCCTCTTATCCACATTATTATTATTCTCCAGAGAGACACACAGATAGACACACAGACACACAGAGGCACACACAGGTAACCACTTTCCTTTTACTATAAATTTTGGGGTTATTTTATTAGTGGTTACCCTGGGAATTATAATTAACATCTTAATTTATAACAATTTAGTTTGGGTTACTATCAGTTTAATTTTGATAGTATACAAAAACTTTGCTTCCGTATAGCTCTGTCCTCCCTCTTTTGTGCTATTATTGTCACAAATTACATCTGTACATTGTGTTTCAACATAGATTCATAACAGATTTTTAATTTATTTATAATTATTGCTTTATGTAGTTGTCTTTTAAATCAGATAGGAAACAAACAAAAAATGCATTTGTATCGTCTTCTTGTATTTACCTATGTAGTTACCTTTACTGGTAGTCAGTATTTCGAGTTAGTGTCTTTTCATTTCAGCCTAAAGAACTCCTTTTAGCATTTCTTGTAGGGCAGGTTTACTAGCAGCAAACTCTTAGCTTTTTTTATCGGAGAATGTCTTGATTTCTCCACTTTTGAATGATAGTTTTGCCAGGTATAGAATTCATGGTTGACATATTTCTTTTTCTCTCTGGCCTCCGTGGTTTCTGATGAGAAATAAGCTGTTTATCTTGTTGAGGATCCCGTGTATATGATGACTTGCTTCTCTCTTGTTGCTTTCAGGATTCTCTCTTTGGCTTTGGCTTTTGAAAGTTTAATTACAGTGTGTATGCATGGGCCTTCTAGATTCCCAGGAATATGTTAGGACTTTTCAAATCTATGGACATCTCACTCCTCAGGTTTTCCTTTCATTTTCTGGTTTGTGTATTGTGTACCCCGTCTGTTTTCCATCACCTCAGACAGTAACGCTTTAAAACATTGCCATTAAACGTTTGACAAATACCTACTTCCTAGAAGTTTTTAGCGCTGTGCAAGTTCCCACAAGCCTTTCAAGTGGGGTCTTCCTGGGAACCACCAAACAGGTCAGATAATGACTGTTGTTTGGGAATGAGGCTTTGAAAAAGCTCTAGCTTTGTTCTGTTCCTTCTATCACCAGAAATGTGAGCTGTTATTTTCCAAGGCTACTGCTGAGTTGAGGAGTCAGATGGGATTAGGGTAAGTTAAAATGCCACAAAACTCACCGTTATTATTGAAACTCAGTTTTCCTTGAATAAACTCTCCCTGGGTTGCTGCAAGTCTTTGGTTAATTTAGAGAATTCAGAAGAAACTTATTCTGTCAGGTTTTGCCAGTTTTATGGTTGCTTTTATGGAGTGGTGAAATTTCACTGATCTCTTACCGAGGTTAATTGCTTGCAATAATTTCTATTGTTTGTTTCCTAAGTTTTTTAATGCAATTATAAGAATATAGGCATATGTAGTTACTTTTCACCTTTCCAAAGGTAGAATACAATACACATCATTCTGTATCTTGTTGTTTTTAATTTAACGATATACCATGGCCCCCTCTTGAGTCCTGAAGTTGTACATCTTCCCATCTAACGAAGTGAACTTTTGTGGAGTCTTAACCAGCTGCCCCCTATCTGGATCTGAAACCTTCCACCAAGGAGTCATGAATTCCAGAAGCTTTAATGGTCAGTGCTGACCATTCTAAGTAACTGTCCTGAGCCCTGTGGTTCCACCACCTCCATCCTTACACTTCTGCCTTCTTGGAAATCATCTCAACTGTCTCCTTGATCTTGGTAGAACCAGGAATCTCAGCTCTACCTTCTAGATTGTTTCCCCGTCTTCTTGATCTATATCCCTGATGCCAACCTTCTGTGAGTCTGCTAAGCTGGAAATGGGGAAGTCATCCTGACTGCCTGCTCTTTCCTCTCTAAGAAGTAATCTCTTTTCTGACTTCTGAGATTTTCTTCCTCTGAAATGTCAGCTGTGTCATTCAGCTTCCACCAACATCACCCTCAGGTAGGCACCCTCATAAAATTCCAGCTCAAGTTGGTGAGTGAATTATTATTTGTTATTAGCCCCCTCAGATGTTGTTTCTAGATTTATATCCCTGAAATCTTCCATTATGAGGTCTCTGCCAGTAAACCTACAGTGACTTGAGTTGCCTTTTAAATAACTCTGACCAGATTTCAAGACCTTCCAATTTTTTCTATTATTTTGCTCATTTCCTGACTAGTTCCTGCAGTTTACTCAGCTGGCATCCTTAAGGCCCTCCTTACATTTCAGTCACATCACGCATGCCTTTGCTCATGCCATACCAGCAGTCTGTCTGTATTTGAGCCATGCCCGAAGACTGAGCTCATGTTATTTCTCTTGTGTGAAACCTTCCTTGATTGCTTCTGTCGTGGTCTCCTTTTCTGACCTCCCATCCGCTTAGCATCTACAACCCCACAAACTCTCAGTGATGTAATGTGTGTATTCATAACTGTTTAGATCGTCACCTCATCACATAGATTATAATTTACAGGTGGAAGAGACACTCAGGCCGTAAGTACTGAGTATGAAGCTGGACGGACATTATTTATCTAATCAGTGACTTGGTCAGCTACCATTTTTTAAAGTTTCTACTGGAAAAATTCAAAAGTTGTTTGAAGATCATTCCCTAACTACTAGAAGCTAAGCTTAAAATTGATAGTAAGTGCCATTTCTTGAGCAGAGTAGGATCTCTCCTGTTGTAATCGACTTGGGTAATAAAAGAGGGAAAATGGTGTATAGTGAAGAAGAAGAAAAACCTGGAGAAAGAGGACAAGGGTCTAGGCCCTGTTGGGTACCTGCAGCATTAGACCCTGTGGTATGCTGAATAATGAATGATACCCACCCCTGCAAAATGTCCACATCTGAAACTTGTGAATATGGTGCCTTATATGGCAAAAGAGACTTTTTCAGATGTGAATTAAACTAGGGATCTTGAGATAGATTATCTTGGATTGTCTGGATGGGCCCATGTTATTGTGAGGTCATTCTAAGAGTGAGGCAGGAGTGTCAGAGACACAGAGATGTGACTGACAGAAGCAAAGGTTGGAATGATAAACTTTGAAGATGGAGGGGGGAGCTACAAGCCAAAGAATGCAGGCAGCTTTTAAAGATGGCAAAGGCAAGGATGTGGATTTTCCCCTAGAGCTTCTGAAGGAAAGTTATCTTGATTTTAGCCCAGTGAAAGCCATTTAGAACTTCTGACTTTCAGACTGTGAGACAGTGAGTTTGTTATTTTAAGCCACAACATGTGTGGTAATTTGTTACAGCAGCAATAGGAAACTAATACAGACCCCTGTTGTTGGAGGACTGATACCTCAGCAGTGATGATAGGTAGCTTCCACATATTGAATTTGCCAGACATTTTGCTGGATTCACAATCTCATTTAATCTTCAGAAAAGTCACGTAAGGATAGTGGCAGAGCCAGTACTTAAATACAGATTATCAGACTATAACTCCTGTATCTGCTTCATTGCAGTGTGCTGTCTTTCCAGTCTATCTCTTTTGTCATTATTCTACACATGTTAGAAGAACTTTAGGAGTATCCTGAAACCACGTGATTTTTGCTGTTCAGGAGGATGATTTTGTGTTATTGACTGAACTCTGTGAGATAGGAAATAATGTGATAGCTTGAAGCCTTTGTTGGTGATACTTTCTCTTAACCCCATCCCCTTCTTTTTTTGGCAGGTGTCAAAGTAGGGGAACAGTAAGGACATTATAACATAGAAATGAATTAGCACACTTTAATAATTTAAACATTAGTTTCTGAGGGGCTGGTTGTTCATCTGTCTTTTGTTAAGCCAGTTATTATTTTTTCACCTTAATAGTATTAAATGCATCTGGATCCTCCAGACAACCCCCAGGTTCAGTGATTCATTAGAAGGACTCCCTGGACTCAAAAGGCATTATATTCAGGGTAATGGTTTATTACAGTGCAAGGACACAAAGCAACATCAGCAGAGGGTAAAGGTGCATGGAGCGAGGTCTGGAGGAAACCAAATGCAAGCTTTCAGTAGTTCTTTCCCAGTGGAGTTGCAAAGAACACACTTAATTCCTTCAGCAATGAGTTGTGTGAAGTGTCATCTACTAGGGAAGCTTGCCCAAGCCTGTGAGTCCAGGGTGTTTATTGGGGGTTGGTCATTTAGACACACATGACTGACTGAGTAATCATGGAAGCTCCAGAACCCCAGAAGGAAGCAGGTGTTCACCATAAATGACATTGTTTGTACAAACTGTCTAGAGAAGTTGGTACAGTATACTTCAAGGGTTCAAGCATGCAGAACACTCTTATGAGTTAGAACATTCCAGGATCTCAGTCCTTAGGAGTTGGCCGAGGGCCAGTCATGAAACAGGCCTTCTTGGGAATGTGCAAAGTGTGACCAACTCAAGTGTGTAGAGTTAACTCTTTCCTGCACACACGTAATAACTGGTCCTCCTTTTCATGGGAAGATACTCCTAAATGGGTTTTATTCATATTCAGTGCACACTTTGTATTCTGGTTAACTACTTTTGTTCACTTTTTACTATTCTTCTCTTTCCTATTACAATCTTCCTCTGGGTTACAAGTCTATTTGGAAACAAGTTCATGCTTACCTTTTCAATAATATGGACAGTAAATCTTACCTTTTCCACTCTACTCTTAGAAGTTCTTTCCCTATGCTCTCATGGATATTTTCTGTTTGTTTCAGAATGGGTGAGAAATCTTGAAAGCAAAGCGTTGATCCCAACACAGAGCATTCTTGAGGAGGAACAGTCCCATAGCATGAAGTTGGAGAGATACATATGGGATGATCCTTGGTTCTCCAGGTTAGAAGTTTTGGGATGTAAAGACCAATTAGAAATGTATCACATGAACCAGAGTACAGCTATGAGGCAAATGGTCTTCATGCAAAAGCAAGTACTGTCTCAAAGAGGCGCTGAGTTCTGTGAACTTGGGGCAGGGTGTAGCCAGAGACTAAGCATTGTTCCATCTCAGAAAGTTTCTCAAATAGAACATTTCTATAAGCCTGATACAAATGCTGAAAGTTGGAGATGTAACTCAGCCATAATGTATGCAGATAAGATTACCTGTGAAAATAATGAGTATGACAAAGCCTTCTACCACTCCATGCAACCTGTTCACCCTGCAAGGGTGCAAACTGGAGATAATCTTTTCAAATGTACTGATGCTGTTAAATCTTTCAATCATATACTGCATTTTGGTGATCATATGGGAATGCATACAGGAGAAAAACTATATGAATATAAGGAATGCCATCAAATCTTTAACCAGAGCCCATCATTTAGTGAACATCCAGGACTTCATATTGGAGGAAACCAGTATGATTACAAAGAATATGAGAATATCTTTTACTTTTCATCCTTTATGGAACATCAAAAAATTGGTACTGTAGAGAAAGCATATAAATACAATGAATGGGAGAAAGTCTTTGGGTATGACTCATTCCTTACACAGCATACAAGCACTTACACTGCAGAGAAACCCTACGAATATAATGAATGTGGGACGTCTTTTATCTGGAGCTCTTACCTTATCCAACATAAGAAAACTCATACTGGAGAGAAACCCTATGAATGTGATAAATGTGGAAAAGTTTTTAGGAATCGTTCAGCCCTTACTAAACATGAACGGACTCACACTGGAATCAAACCCTATGAATGTAATAAATGTGGAAAAGCCTTCAGCTGGAATTCTCATCTTATTGTACACAAGAGAATTCATACGGGAGAGAAACCTTATGTATGTAATGAATGTGGGAAGTCTTTCAACTGGAACTCCCATCTTATTGGACATCAGAGAACTCATACTGGAGAGAAACCTTTTGAATGTACTGAATGTGGGAAATCTTTCAGCTGGAGCTCCCATCTTATTGCCCACATGAGAATGCATACTGGAGAGAAGCCCTTTAAATGTGATGAATGTGAAAAAGCTTTTAGGGATTACTCAGCCCTTAGTAAACATGAAAGAACTCATTCTGGAGCAAAACCATATAAATGTACTGAATGTGGAAAATCCTTCAGCTGGAGCTCCCACCTTATTGCCCATCAGAGAACTCACACAGGAGAGAAACCCTATAACTGTCAGGAATGTGGCAAAGCATTCAGAGAACGTTCAGCCCTCACTAAACATGAAATAATTCATTCTGGAATTAAGCCCTATGAATGTAATAAATGTGGAAAATCATGCAGCCAGATGGCTCACCTTGTTAGACATCAAAGGACTCATACTGGAGAGAAGCCCTATGAGTGCAATAAATGTGGAAAATCCTTCAGCCAGAGTTGCCACCTTGTTGCCCATCGGAGAATCCACACTGGTGAGAAACCCTACAAATGTAATCAATGTGAAAGATCCTTTAACTGTAGCTCTCATCTTATTGCACACAGGAGAACTCATACTGGAGAGAAACCATATAGATGTAATGAATGTGGGAAAGCATTTAATGAGAGTTCTTCCCTTATTGTACATCTGAGAAACCATACTGGAGAAAAACCCTACAAATGTAATCATTGTGAGAAAGCTTTCTGTAAGAATTCTTCTCTTATTATTCATCAGAGAATGCATAGTGGAGAGAAACGCTTTATATGCACTGACTGTGGAAAAGCCTTTAGTGGTCACTCAGCCCTACTTCAACACCAGAGAAATCATAGTGAAGAGAAACTCTGTGAATTGAATTGATGAGAGATTTTTCTTTTATTGTACATTTGATAACACATTGAAAAAAAACCTATAAGTATAATCAAGAGGGGAAATTTTTAATACTAGTTCAGTAAGACTTCTCCCCTTATTAATCAGTAGAAATTATCATCATAGAAGAAACCTGTGAATGAAAAGAATAGGCAAAAGCCTTCCACAGTTGTGTAGCCTTTATTTAACATCAAATAATTACAGTGAAGAGGACACCAGGAATCCTACTTGAGCAACATGAACGTAGGGAATGAGACATCTTTTTGTAAGAGATCTCAACTATTTGTGGATCAGAGTGCATTGTTAAGGGAAAAATTTTATCCTAGGAAAAGTGTTTCAACTAGAAATCTGCTGTTTTGCATCAAGCTGGAATATTGGATGGAAGCTTTACAATAACATTTTGTGCATCATTATGGAAACACAGATTGTGCTATTATAAGGGGAGGGTCTGGGTGCCCTTTAAGGAATAGAATATGGAATACTAAACCTGAATTTAAGGAAAAAAAAAGTGTTGAATGGGATATCTACTGTTGATTGAGATTAACCTTAGAAAAGATTAGTAAATGAGATTACTAATGATGGAAAGGTATTGCCCATAAGTATGAGACTGATGTTGTTGGAACAAAAGGTGATACTTAATAACCCAGTGTGTCAGTGACCATGGTTTACTCATTACTGCATTGTTGGACAATTAGTTTGTAATCTGTTTTAGGCAGTCACTGTAAGTTATAATTATGGATACTGAGTCAATATACATAACAAAAAAAGGAATAAAAAGGACACAAAATTGTATATACATATCTACTATAACATCTAAAAAGTGTATATGCATAACGACTGGAAAGACCCATGGATAAATTAACCCAGTTAAGGTTTTTTTTTAAGTTTTACAAACACATACAGCACTTATCACGTGCTAAACTTTGTTTTAAATACTTTTCAAATATTAACTTGTTCAGTCCCCTTAATTCTATGAGATAGGTACTATTATCCCAGTTTTACAAAGGGAGAAACTGAGGCAGAAATCATCAGAGACCTACCTAAGGACACACAGCTAGTTAGGAATAGAAAGATTGTTTGGCTCCAGAGATTGTTTTAACCACTGTGTTGCACTGCCTCTGCAGTGATTTTTTTTCCCCTAATGTTTTTTTTTTTTTAATTTTGTCCAGTGTTCTTATAGTAGATATTTGATAATAAAAATCAAATTCCTAAACAATGAGAAGTAAAGTTACCTGGCTTTCTACCCTGTGGGATTTCGGGTACCATGAGAGCAAACCTCCCTTTGGAATACGAAGTCTGGATTGGACATTCAGAATCAGTGCATTTTCTGGGCCCTGGGTTCCCTAGAATTTCACCACCTATGACCCTGAAGATTACAGCAGAGCAGGGGCTGGAGGACTCACTGGAGGTTTGGGCAAGTCAGAGGAAATGCCCCTTGATGGGTTTAGAATGCCCTTCATGAGGCAGAGGGCAAGAGACACATCTGCACATGAGAGCACCATTTCTCAAGGTCTCCGTAGAATTCAATGTTTATATTTTCTTTATCTTCTCCAGATGAAGAGATTACTTGATAGTAAGGAAGATTCAGAAGGAAAGGGAGCTAATCAGTCATAAAATGAGGAAGTTTCTCTGAGTGCTCAGAGTGGAAAGGGGGCAAGATGACTAGGAGGACTTGGGTGGCATTTCTTCGGTTCACAAATATTTCCTGTATTTCCCTAAGGTAGGGCTATAATTAGGGGCCAGCAGTCCTTCCTGGATGGGTTTCAAGGGTATTGGTTAGAAATCCAGGGTACAGAAGGTTCATCTAGTTCTCGAGGGGTCCATGACTCTCCAGTGGTTGAGAAAAAGTGGCCTGCTGGTATGGTGGGACTCTGTGCTCACTGTCAAACTCCTGTAGCTGGCGCTTCCATAGGTATGTAACAGTGACCCTACCTTAATGTATAGGGGTTGCCCAGTAAAGGTTGCAGGGGTAAATTAATTGGATTTCTTGTATGATTTGTGCAGAGATCCTTGGAGAGAATAGAGGCAGCACTATTAACCTCTGTAAGAGACAGCAGCCTAATGCATCAAGAGGTGTACTGCCAATATATGGGTATTGTATTCTAATACCCAAAGTAATATACTTTGAACCCAGATTTTCTGATTTAGGGACTACAAAGGATTTTGTAAGTTATACACAAATATTCCACAAGCATCCTGGCAAGTTCTGTAACTGTACCACCAAGCTTAGTATCTTTTAAAAAATATTTCTAAAAGGGCCTCCTGGACTTTTAAAGTGTCCTTCTAAAAGGGTCCCAGACTTCTGCTTCCTCCTAGAAGGATTCCCTACCTCCCTACCACCTATTACACAAACTTATGTATGCCCAGGGCTCCCAGGTCCCCTCTTACCTCCCTATTCTAACCCACATCTAACTCAGTTCATTGCCCTTTTGATCCCCACGCTTCACTCTTCCCCAACTCTGAAACCTGCTGGGCCCAGTTGGAACTCTCCATTCAGCCATCTTCTGCTGTGACTGAAACTTGGGTTTCCCCTCTGCACAGTACCTTTTCTTACGATCCTTGCAGGGAGTGGCTGCTTTGTCTTCCACTCTTCTTCATTTGTTGCTTCTAGATTGTTTCCCCTCCCTTCTCTCTAAAACTGAGTTCTGACTCTTGGGACACCAAACTATCATATCACTCCTGCTTCCCTCTGTTGCAGTCACCTTATGAATGGTTCACTCTTCCCATCCGTAAAGATTTCAGCTCTTGCTGTATTGCATCTAAAACCACCCACATCGTAATACTTCCTGATTTTATTGTCCAGGTAGATGATCTTCCTGTGTCCTGACCTCACAGTTCTTTGACCTGTCTGCTCACGGTTTTGTCACCCACCCTGCAACAGACAGTCACTCCCATTGTCATCCCTAGGACCATTCCATTACCAGTGACTGGAACCTCCCCACCATCGGTTTCAAGTGTCTTTTCTTAAGCTAGTTGGCTGTTTAGTACCAAGATTCCAACAGTCCCTTCACTGAATCTTCCCTTACGCTTGTTCCCAGCAGAAGACTTTGCTTCCTGTTTCCCTGAGTGATAGAAGCCAGCAGAGGCCTTGCATGACATCTGTCCACCTTCTCTACCCACTTTCCATAATTTCCGTGCCTTCCCACTTGTGCGTGTATATGAACTGACTGGGTTGGCACCAGAGCCTGTCCCATGTCCACTACTCCAAGACATCGCTCCAGCAAGTTTCCCGTATCTCTTGTATCCTCAGGTTTTCTGTATATACTGGATTATCCCCATGGACATGTGAACATACTTAAAAAAAACAAAACAAAAAATCCTCTGGCTCCTGAATCACTCTCTGCTTTGTTTCAGAAAGCAAAATATCTCAAAAGTTGTCTGTTCTTGCAGTCTTCACTTCCCTTCCATTCTTTCTTTTTTAAAAAAAAAATTATTATTTTTGGTTGCATCGGGTCTTAGTTGGGGCACACGGGATCTTTTGTAGTGGCATATGGGCTTCTCTCTAGTTGTGGCACGCAGGCTTAGTTGCCTGGCAACATGTGGGATCTTAGTTCCCCGGCCAGGGATCGAACCTGCGTCCCCTGCATCGGAAGGCGGATTCTTAACCACTGGACCACCAGGGAAGACTCCTTTCCATTCTTTCTTGGACCCACTCCAAAACCTGCCTTGCTGCAAGATGACCTCCACATTGCTAAATCCAGTCGTCAGTTCTGTTTTCTTCCTTGACGTTATCAGCAGCATCTTAGATTCTTAGATAATAGATCATTTCCTCCTTGAAACATGTTCACCTGGCCTTTGGGACTTGCCTCCCACCTCTCTCATTTCAGGCCCCATTTGCTGTTCCTTCTCCACCTCCTTTACCTCTTACTGTCAGACTGCCCACTTCCCATCTGCTCACAGTGCCTTGATCTCATCCAGTCTGGAAGCCCTGTAAACACAACTGGTATGCTGATGACTCTCCCTTTAAGGCCACAGTTTGATGAGTTTTGAAAAATGTCAACACCCTTGCAACCACCACTACAACAAAAATAGAGAATATTTGCCCTTCTCCAAAAAGTTCCCTCATGTCTTTTCATAGTTAATCTCCACCCTACCCCAAGACCTGGGCAACCACATGTCTGCTTTGTCAGTACATATTAGAATTGTCTTTTAGGGTTTTATAAAGATAGAATCATACAGTATGCATATGCTACGTTTGTATGCAGATTCTTTTGCTCAGCATGTTTTGGAGGCTCATCCACGTTGTAGCATTTATCAGTAGTCTACTTTCTTTGTTGAGTAGCTTTCCATTATGCGGATGTGCCACAGGTAGTAGTCATCCTGTTCACCTAGATGGACATTGACTTGTTTCCAGTTCTGGGCTAGTGTAAATACAGCCGCTATGGGCATTCTTCTTCAGGGCTTTTTTGTGTATGCAGGTTTTCATTTACCTTGGGTAAAGACCTAGGAGTGGAACAGCTGAGTTGTATGGTAAGTAAATGTTAAACTTCATAAGACACTTATGGGCCTTTTAATCTGATGTCTTTATTATGTTTTACATTCTGGGAAATTTATCTCTTATTTTTTAATATTTCATTTTTGCCATTTAAAAAGTTTCTCTTTTTAGGACTCCTATTATTTAGATGTCAGCATATCTGTGTCTGTTGTTCATATCTGTTACCTGCTCTTTTATGTCCTCTAGTTCCTTCTCCTTTCTTCCTTTTGTCTGGACATTTCCTCAGCTTGCTAATTTGTTTCTCAGCTGTCCATTTTGCTGCTCATTTCCTCTATTGTGTCTTCATTTCAACCACTATTTTACATTTCTAATATTTCTACTTGGTTCTCTTTTATGTGTTCTTATTCTCATTTCCTATTGTTAGTATCATGCCATATCTCTTTAAATGTACTTAATTGACTAAGTTAAAATTTTGGTCCATCTGTTCTAATATACGTGCTTCTGGTGGAATCTGTAATCCAGTGTGGTGTTTTTCTTTTTGAAATAGTTATGCTCAGAAAATTGCTTACTGCCTGGCCAGTGAGCACATTTATTTCTCTTAGGGAAGCAGCTACTCCATCAGTTTTTATGCATACATGAGACAGGATCAGATCCTGGTCCCTGTAAACCCCACTGAATTCAGGGGTGGGAGGATGGATACTAGGATGGAGAGGTGAAGCCATCAGAAAGCCAATCACTGACTTCTTACCTCACAAGATAACTGAAATGTGATTCACCAGCCCAGGGCTCTGTGGAGGCAGGGTGGAGAAACATGTGCCTGATGTGATGTAGTCTCTGCCTGTCTCTCAGCTACTCCAAAGCCCTGCCTTGATTCCACTCCTCGGGAAGCCTGAACCAGAGGCTGTGTCACTGCAGCTGTGGGTGATGCCGGACCATCCAGTCAACGAATTCTCCTCACTTTCCACCTCACTGCCCTGTTTACTTGCTTCATCGCACACGTCACTACAGAACATCACCTGGTCTATTTTTTTCCTTCCTTACTGTCCACACCATCTCCCGAAACCACACATTAGGCTGTGATCTCCATGGGGGAGGGCACCTCGTTGGTCCTGGTCGTGCTGTGTCCCTAGTGTCCAGTGGTTCTGTGAGTGCTTGGAACACACCAGCAGGTTGTTGCTTGTGCTTCCCAGCAGCCCGACCTCATCAGGTGGGGTGGCCATGAGTTCTCATCATCCTGGGTCTCCTGACCAGGGAGAGGAGACTGGGGGTGACTGTGGAGTGGTGCCCACAGGGAGAAGGGCTTCGCAATCATAGACAGATGGTCAAGAACACCTGTATGTGGGAGAAGGACTAGTCAGAAGGCTTGGCCATAAAATGGGGGGTGGGGGTGGATATGAAAGACACCACAAATCAGACTCACTTGTGGGCAGAGGAGAGAAGTGGCCAGGAATGTGGGCGGTCCTGCTCTCCAGCAACACAGAGTCTTCGAGTCACGAGGGTCAGGGCTCATCCCAGCCTTCCCTGCAGATGCTGTTCTGTCTGCACAGGCAACACCCTCCCTTGTGTCGTCACAGAGACAAAATCGCTCTGCAGATGGAGTGAGCAGCACTTATGGGCAGCAGTGTTCTCAAGGTGGGTCCTCGTGGTGGGAGGAACTGCTGAAGAGTCTAGACAAGTATTTATGCCCTGAGGATGGAGGGTCCCCAGGTGGAGAACTGGGGGCCCGAATCACAGGGAACCCGATCAGATTTTCCAGCAGAAAGTCACTAAGTTTGGCCTTGCTCCCCAAACTCCTGATCCTAAAAGTCACTTGGGGGCTTATTAAAAATATAGACCTCCTGGCCCCAACCCCGATCCGCTAGACCCAGTGCTCTGGAGATTCTTGTCATGCTGGGAGCAGACATCCAATGGGACCTGATATGGAAGGAAGCCAGCTTGGATTGGGATCATTATGGGTCCACCTTGGGCAGAACCCAAGCAAGGTGTGAGGGACTCTAACCCGGCCCCATGCAATGATGACACCATAGGAAAAGTTGGTAGCCCAGGCTTCATGTGGCCTAGAGGGGCAACCCCAAGATCCTCTTCAAAGGGTTCTGGGATAAAGGAGGGGTGAAACCTGGAGGTGAGGGGTGACAATGTTGAACCTTTCCTCCAGGCTCCTGGAAAACAGACAGTTGGATCCCTCCAACCTTTTGTGTTCCAGGAAACGGCTTACTGTGAAGGACAGATGGGACTCTTGACCCCTCTTTCACATAGGACAAGGCTAGAGCCAGACTCTCCAAATTTCCATTCACTCTCATAAATGATTAGCTAGACTGATCAATCAGAACAAAAGTCTGTTGAGTTGACTTCACCAAACTTTAGTTCAGCTTCTTCACTCCCCAAAGACCCTTGAACTCTGACTTACTCCTAAGGTTAAATAAGTATTCGAATGCAGGAAAGTGGCCCCTCTCTAGAACCAGCTGACAGCAAGACATCTCCTGCTGCAGTCCGATCTTCCACTCCCCGCACCCGGTTCTTTCTAGCCTTGTTCACTCCTCCCTATGAAAGAAAGTTCCTTTCTGTGCAACCTTGGAGATGCTTGCAGATCTTACTGTCAAGAGTGTTCTCCCTACTGCAACAGTCCCCCTCTCCTTACTGGAATCGTCTTTCTGAACGTAGTCTCTCCTTGCCTAAGCTTGATTTTGTTTTCTGTTTGGCAGAAGTTGGCTCCAAGCCCTGCTTCTGGGTCTGGTCAGAACCCACAGCAGGAAGGATGACCTCCCACAAGGCCTTGGTGAGCTGCCCAGACACGCACGAAGGCTGGGTTTCTGTATGGGAACCACTGAGCAACTTTAACCAGGAAGGACAGAAAATGCTTTTGTTTTTAAAGAGGTCCTAGTGGCTGCTGTGTGGATAATGACCTGATGGAGGCAACCGTTACCAAGGAAGGCAAGCGCGGAGGCTACTGTGTTCGTTCCGGCGAGAGATGGAAACTTGGACCAACGTGGTGCTGCAGTGCGCAGAGAAGTGATGAAACGCTTCACCGTACAGATTCAAACCGCTCAGTGAACTTCAGAGCAAGATAAACACAAAGAAACCACATTATTAAAAAGTACTGAAGCCCAAGAGAAAAGGTCATGGTCATGGTGGAGAAGCTTGGATCGGATTTACCTTCTTTCCGGTAATAATTAAAAACTCCTAACCTTGAGCAAAAAGCTTAAGGCAACTGGAGAACAACCGTAGCAGGAAGAGACTGTGGTGGAGCCCATCCTCAGTTACCTAGGAGACGCGGCTGGGCTGCACAGCCTTCTGGGAGTTGTGGTCCATAGGCCGGGTCCTGGCCTCCTCGGGCCTGTGAGGCTCAGACTACAACTCCCAGAGGGCACCGTGGCGTGCCTCCGACTAATGAGAGCACTCAGGCCGCTGAGAGACAGCGGCCTGTGCAGGCTTCTGGGAGTTGTAGTCCATGGGCTGCACTTAAGATCACCCAAAGTCGGGCTTCCCTGGTGGCGCAGTGGTTGAGAGTCCGCCTGCTGATGTAGGGCACACGGGTTAGTGCGCCGGTCCGGGAGGATCCCACATGCCGCGGAGCGGCTGGGCCCGTGAGCCATGGCCGCTGAGCCTGCGCGTCCGGAGCCTGTGCTCCACAACGGGAGAGGTCACAGCCGTGGGAGGCCCGCGTACCGCAAAAAACAAACAAACAAAAAAAACAAAGATCACCCAAACTCAAAGGCTTTTCTCATTTTTTAAAAATAATAGCTTTGACAGGGAGGGACAAGACAGGGGTAGGTGATTAAGAGGTACAAACTACCATGTATAAAATAAATGAGTTACAAGTATGTGTTGTACATCACAAGGGATATGCCAATATTTTATAGTAACTTTAAATGGAGTATAATCTATAAAAATTTTGAATCACTGTGTTGTACACCTGAAACTAATATTATGAATCAACTACACCTTATTTTAAAAAGAGCTTTGAAGCTTTGAAAAGAAATGAGTTGCCAAGCCATGAAAAGACATGGAGAAACATACTACTAAAGAATATATTAAATAAGTATTAATAAGTGAAAGGAGCCAATTTGAGTATGTATTCAAGGCTACATACTGTATGAGTCCAACATATGACATTCTGGAAAAGGGAAAACTATGGGGATAGTGAAAATATCAGTGGTTGCCAGAGGGTTGGGGGAGGAGAGAGGGATGAATAGGTGGAGCATAGTGGATTTTTACAGAAGGGCAACTGTGCTGTATGACATTTTATAAGATTGGATACCTGTCATGATACCTTTGTCAGAACCCATAGAATGTGTAATGCCGGGAGTCAACCTCAACATAAACTAGGGACTTTGATTATGATGTGACAATGTAGGTTCATCAGCTGTAACAAATGTACCTCTCTGGTGTGGGATGTCAATCATGGAGAAGGCTGTGTGTGTGTGTGTGTGTGTGTGTGTATGAGGGGGCAGGGGGTACGTGGGAACTCTGTTGTGAACGTAAAGCTACTCTAAAAAAGGAAGTCTTTTGAAAAAGCAATAGCTTTCTTGAGGTATTCACATACCATAACATTAACCTTTTTAAAGTGGTTTTTAGTATATTCACAATATTGTTCATTCCTCACAATTATCTAAATCCAGAACATTTCATCACTCCAAAAGGAAACCCCATTAGCAATTACTCTACTCCCTATTCATTCCTCCCCCCAGCCCTTGGCAACCAGTAATCTACATTCTGTCTGTATGGATTTTCCTATTTTGGACCTTTCATATAGATGGAATGATATAATGTGGCCTTTTGTTTCTGGATCCTTTCACTTAGCGTAATGTTTTCATAGTTAATCAGTGTTGTAGCATAAATCAGTACTTTTCCCCTTTTCTTGGATGAATAATATTCCATCATGTGGATATACCCTTTTTGTTTATCCATTCATCAGTTGATGGACATTTGGGTTTATAATAACTTTTTGGTTATTATAAATAATGTTATGAACACTGTTTTATGTTCTTTTAGGTGATGGTCAGTCAGGTGCAGCCATAAGAGGAGACACAGGAGAGTAGCAGGAAGAAACAAAGTTTATTATACTCACAGGTCCAAGAAAGACGGAGTTACGGCATGCCATGAAGGTCCACACATGCTGTAAGCCAGGGAGCGGGCTCAACCAAGCAGGTGGGGAGCAGAGAGTGAAGACTAGCCCACAGGCAAGTGCTTTTATTAAGGGTGTGGGTAGAATACACAAGGATAGGCATGAGGTATGTCATTGGTGCTTTTGAATGTTACTAGGTCATGTTCAGGGGAGAGCAAAGAGGAAGCCCCTTGTAGCAGGGGCCAGCCTTATCACTTGATAAGCCTGGTCATCTGGGAGGGGTGCTCACAGCCTGTTTGCGGGTATGTTGAGGCAGCAGGAAAATACAAAATTTAAAATTTTACAATACGATGAAATAGGTGAAAGGGGTAAAAAGGTACAAAGATCCATTTATAAAATAAGTCATGGGGATGTAATGTACAGCATCACAACTGTAGTTAATAATGCTGTATTGCATATTGAAAGTTATTAAGAAAGTAAATGTTTTTATTTGTCTTTATTTTTTATTGAAATATAGATAATTTACAATGTTGCATTAATTACTGCTGTACAGCAAGGTGACTCAGTTATACACATATATACATTCGTTTTTTATATATTCTTTTCCATTATGATTTATCACAGGATATTGAATAGAGTTCCCTGTGCTATACAGTAGGACCTTGTTGTTTATCCAGTCTCTGTATAAAAGCTTACATCTGCGAGCCCCAACCTCCCATTCCATCCCTCCCCCAACCCCCTCGCCCTTGGCAACCACCAGTCTGTTAAGAGTAGATCTTTTTTTTAAAAAAAAATATTTATTTACTTATTTATTTTTGGCTGTGTCTGGTCTTAGTTGCAGTGTATGGGCTCTTCATTGTGGTATGCGGGCTCTCTAGTTGTGATGCAAGAGCTTAGTTGCCCCTTGGCGTGTGGGATTTAGTTCCCCAACCAGGGATCGAACCGGCGTCCCATACATTACAAGACATTCTTAACCACTGGACCACCAGGGAAGTCCCAAGAGAGTAGATCTTAAAAGTCCTAATCACAAGAAAAATTTTGTAATTACATATGTTGTAATATGTATATGTGACAGATGTTAACTAGAATTATGATCATTTCACAATACATACAAATATCGAATCATTATGTTGCACACCTGAAACTAATATAATGTTAATGTCAGTTACACAATTGAAGTTACACTTCAATAAAAAAAAACTACAATACAATCCACACTGTAGTGCTCCAACATCATTAACAATATTATTTGGGGTGAATAACACTTGCCACCTGGGTTGTGGAGATGCTAAACTGACTGGGACGGCTGGACATGGCCACTGACGGCAAATTTTGGTAAAGGTGACAATGAGGAATTGTCCTATAAGGCATATGACGAAGGTTGGGAACACAGTTTTGCAACTGGACACACTACTTTGGAAGAAAGCCAAGAGAACAGGTCAGGCACCTCTGGATTTAAGGGAATCTGTTGAAAGGTTTTGGTGACATTATGAAAGATCTTATCTCTTGGCCTAATCCTCATAGCTTGACCTTGTATTCGCTACACATCTGTCAGCATTATTAACTCACAGTGGTATTCTGATGCTTGTAGGATTCATCCAGCTGGGCTGGGTGCACAGACTGTAAGAACCAAGTCTAGGAAGAGCCAGGTGTTCACAGACCTATCGGAGAGGATTGGGCAAGGCAGTAGTGACCATTGGGAAGTTGATATCCCAGACCAGCCCCAAAGACAGCGGTGTCCATGGGGAGCTTGAGAGACCTAAATCCAGTCTAAAGGTCACAGTACCGAGAGGGAGCCCCAAACTAAGTTCAAAGAGACACAGCAGATGAACTCATCCAGACAGGCTTGATTGGGGGTGACTCTGAGACTGCGGGATTTAGAGAGAGAGCGTGGGGCACTTGTTCTTACCTGGCTCATCCCCGGGCATGGCAGGAAGGGAGGAAGGCAGATTGGGCTGTTGTAAGAGCAGAGCAAGAAACTTCATGGTCCACAGAGGGCGTATATCTGGAGGCCTGCCTTGTCATCTCCTGACATTCAGGAAGGACAGCTGCCCTTTGGGGCACAGCACACGAGGAACCAGCTCCTAACCCCAGGGGACTTTACAAGCCTCGAACGGTCTCTGGTCTGTTCACTTATTCTAATTGGTAGGAGGAATGAAAACCTGTTTTCTGTATTGTGGGAACTACCAGATGGGCAAGGGGCACGTCCAGGGGACAACCTTCTTCCATGCCATCTAGTTTTCTATCTCATTTCCACATTTTCAGATGATTCATTTAATCTCCTTTAAAGAAACTTCTGGAGATGGCCACTTGGGTCTAGGTTTCTGAACAGCACCCCCAGAGGCTGGAGGAGTACTGAATTGCTTTATTGAAAATATTATACTCTCCCATTTTACAACCAGAACTAACGTTCAGTGCCCACACTCTTTTTGAGCTTTGCATGGACTCCTTTATTGAGCCATCGCTGTAACCCTGTGAAGTAGGTTCCTGTTCTATTCTTCTGCTGAGGAAACTGAAGCTCAGAGGGGTAAGTAACTTGATCAAGCTCAAACATCTAGGAAGCCAGAGATGAGGGTTAGAATTCAGGCATTTGAACACAGAGCCCTGCTGTTTTCTCTGTTGGCTTCTTATGATGTGTCACATTGAATTATTATTATTTTTTAAATATTTATTTATTTATTTAGCTGTGTCGGGTCTTAGTTGTGGCGTGCATGTGGGATCTAGCTCCACCACCAGGGATCGAACCCGGGCCCCCTGCACTGGAAGCATGGAGTCTTAGCCACTGGACTGCCAGGGAAGGCCTCACATGGGATTATAATTGATTTCTATCTGCCTCCTCACTAATCTGGATGTTCTCTGAGGGCAGGGACCTGTTCTTATTCACATCTGTACCCAAGAGCTTAGCATCCCTCCCAGCGCACTCACTCATTCTGTTAGGCTCACCACTGGCTGACCTGATTCCGTGAAAGAATTCCATGTGGCAACATGAGCTGACTTCACACTGGTGGTTCCCAGTCAGAATGCAAACATTCTGTAGTGAGAAGAGCTCCTTAGTTCCTCAGAGAAATATAGGACAGATGCTAGCCTACAACTAAATACTTCCTTTCACCCATACGATAACAAACTAGCAGTTTTGGAACGATGGACAGGTTCAAAGTTCTTTCGCCATTTTATTTTTGTTTGTAATGGAATTCCCACTTCATTTGTGCTTGTCTTATGCAGGTGAGTTCAAACCAGCTGGACAAACAACATGCTTAATGGGTAGCTTCAAGCATGATTTCACTTGTTTTAGAGGAAGTAAAAAGGAGTAATTATATTTCACTGCTACAACTTTTCTTTTCCAGGTTATATGCAGTCACAAAGACCCACAAATGTCACCCAAAAGCCCACACTGTACGCTAAGGAATTTCAATTATCTCACGTTCAAGGAGCTTTCTCAAAACACAGAGGTGAGTCATTGTTAGTATTCGTTCAGTGAAATGAGAATGTATTCTGGGGTCCTCTTATGTGCTATATCAATGTGTCTCTTCTTTTTTTTTTTAAGATTAAAAAATTTTTAAATTTAGTTTTGGTTACATGGGTCTTCTTTGCAGTGCGTGGGCTTCTCATTGCAGTGGCTTCTCTTGCTGCAGAGCATGGGCTCTAGGCACGCGGGCTTCAGTAGTTGCAGCACGTGGGCTCAGTAGTTGTGGCTCATGGGCTCTAGAGTGCAGGCTCAGTAGTTGTGGTTTGCAGGCTCTAGAGTGCGGGCTCAGTAGCTATAGTGCACGGGCTTAGTTGCTCCACGGTATGTGAGATCTTCCAGGACCAGGGCTTGAACCTGTGTTCCCTGCATTGGCAGGCAGATTCTTAACCACTGCACCATCAGGGAAGCCCAATGTGTCTCTTCTTATATATTTGTTAGTAGCATGGTCCATAAAATAATAAAACTAGATAAGCATTGCTTGGAAATTATATCCTATACTCTTCACTCTCCGTAAGCTGGGTGACAGAAGGGCTGTGACTATTGGGCCCTCCCTGGCCCCGGCTCTCCGACCTGATGAGAGCACAGCCCTCTTCAGCTCTGTGCTAAGTTTCTCCAGGTCCTCAGCTTGGGAGGAGGTTTCCCAGCTTGCGTGACTGCAAAAGCAGATCAGGACCCAAATGTAATGTGTTCTTAATGGTCCAGATTCATCAAAGGAAACACTGGATGCAAGCAGAGCAGCATGCTTTTGCAAATTAAGTCACGCATTTCTATCAATACTAGGCATTGGAATAAATTTATTGAGAACATTTACCATCTTAGCTATTTGGAAACTACGTTTTAGGCCCCCTCATCTAATACCAAGTTACATCTTAATTTTCCTAAGTGCATCTTAAACCTGTCTCTTCTTTCTGATCCCCTTCAACGTCCGTATAGCTCCAGCACGTACTACAGCCACGCCATTCCCAGGACGTACTGGTAAGTCAAGGCATCTGGGAGGGTGGGTGGGATCCATGGACGTTCACACAGCTGCTGTGCTGTGTGGCTCCAGAGGGCACCCCGCGCTGCTTGTCACTAACCTGTACAGCCCCTTTGTGCAAATTAGAAAAAGCCGTCCCCCGCCCCATGGTTGGATTAGTAATGATGTTGCTTGGGGCAGATTAGAAAATAGCACAGAGGTCAAAGCATCAGGAAATACAGGAAAAAAAAAATCCACAATTAATCCATCCCTCCATCCATCCCAAAGACGCTATTACCCTCCCTAAAGCCCAGCTATAATATTTCACTTCCCAGTTCACCACCCCCCACCCCCTCGCCAGCACCAAAGCCCAGAAAAGGAGTTCAGGCCAAGGTATCAGAAGGCCCACATTCTAGTCCTTACTTTGACACTAACTTGTCTTGTGAGATGGCAATAGAGGTTCACTGAGACCTCTGCCACGCCTGAGCTTTGGGTCCCAAGTGTAGCTTCTGATACAGAGAGAGACAGAATTGTCTAGTCAGGTCACTGGAAGACTCCCATTTTCTCCTGTAACCTTCAGCTCTTGGTTATATGGAAAGATGTCTACCTCATAATAGGGAAAATACACATTGAAAATAAACTAGAATTCCAGTTTTCAGCTATCATGTTGAAAATAGGCAAAATACTTCACAACAAACTCTCCTGGCAAAAGAGTAGAGAAAGATAATCTCATATCTTGTTTGTAGGCTAGGAATGAGTACAACTTCTACAGAGCACAATTGGCAATTCTTATAAAAAGAATGCGTTCACTTTTTGACCCAGAGTGTTGAAATATACCTGGGATTTGTTTTAATCAGGAATGGTAAGACACGCAGACACGGAAATGGTTGTCATGAAGGAAGACCTTTATACACACGGAATCCTAGAAACAGAAGGCATGGCACAGCATGCCAGGCCATGTGGGAAAGGACCAGAGTGGGTTAGGAGGCAGGAGGAGGAGAGGGGAGAGAATGACCCAGAGCTTCTATTGGGGGTTTTGAGGGAAGAAATGGGTGAGGTGGGGTAGGTACATGGAGTAAGCTTAGTGTTGCATAGTTTGAATAATTTTGGTGGGCTCTGGGCTATACGAGTGGTTCTCAGGTGTCCAGTACCTGGCCCTGGGGTGATTCAGGGCAGAGGGAGTATTGGCCTGGTGTGTGAGGGTTTGATGGTTGGTTTGAATATCAAAGACACCACAGGGGAGTCGCTTGCTGTCTCTGGGAAGTAGCCAGCCCTGAGAGGTGGAGCCTTCCCAGGATGAAGACCCCAAATGGTAGACCATCAACGATATAGAAAATAAGAAAATAGAGTCAATATACCCCGCAATTCCATTTCTGGGAATTTTATTTAAAATATGCTATTCCAGGGAATTCCCTGGCAGTCCAGTGGTTAGGACTTATTCACTGCCAGGGCCTGGGTTCAATCCCTCGTCAAGGAATTAAGATCCCACAAGCCACGTGGTGTGGCAAAAAAAAAAAAAAAAGAAAGTAAGCTACTCCATTTCCTTAGTTCATTTACCCCCCCTTTTTCTTGGTGACTTTCTCGTCTATTTTTCTCATCCCACAAATACTCCCAACATATCTACCCCAAGCTCGCTCTTAGGGGATGACCTTGTTTCCTCCATCACTGACAAAACACAAGCACTTGACAGAGTGTCTGCATCCCCTGATCCAGCACAGTTGTACTTTCTCAGTTTTCCTCCTGTCTAGGCCAAGGCTGACCCCTCACCTATGCACCAGCTAACATCCCCTCAGGCCAACTGGGGACACCCCAGGCAATTCTCTCTCCCTTTCCAGGAACATCACAGTATTTAAAAGTATCATCCCCGTTCTTATATGAACATGCTGTCGGTTTTCCCATATTAAAAAACAAAACTCATCTCTTGATCCCTCAGCCCCCTCTGGGAGCTGCCCCCATTTCTCTTCCCTCCATGATAGCAAAACTCTTCAGGAAGTTTCCAAAACTTGCTCTCTCCAATTCCTTTCCCCCTGTTCTCTCTCAAACCTGTTTCACTCATGCACATCGATAACATCTCCTTTGACTAGGTCTCCAATGACCTTCCCATTGCCAAGTCCAGCAACCAATTTTCAGGAGTCATTGTATTGAAACAGACTGTAACCCATACCTCCCCACCCCTAATATTTCATTAAGAAAATCTGAAAACACAGAAAAATTGAGAGAATCATAGAATGAACATCTATGTAAGCCACACCTAAGGTCTACAATTAAGCGTTTAATCTGCAAGCATTTTTACAGTCCAGGTTCTTTTTGTCATGTCAGGCTGACTTCACATTGAGGTATGAATCTCAAAGTACTTCTCAGCTCAGTCGTTGAACCAGTAAGGGACAGAAAGTGAGGGAAGGCCACGTTTGCAACAAGGAGTAGCACTTCAATTTGTCAGATTTTTACAAGTGGTATTTTTTTTTGTTTTTTTAAAAATATTTATTTATTTTGTCTGTGCTGTGTCTTAGTTGCGGAACGTGGGATCTTAGTTGCGGCATGCAAACTCTTTAGCTGCAGCATTTGGGATCTATTTCCCTGACCAGGGATTGAACCTGGGCCCCCTGCATTGCAAGCGTGGAGTCTTACCTACTGGACCACCAGGGAAGTCCCTACAAGTGGTTGAGTAATGTACTTAGTCAATTGCTCTTTTGTTCAGTTTGTACCAACAATAGCTCTGTTTATTTATTTTTATTTCAGATAATGGGAGAAGTGGTACACCTGGTCTACAAAAAGCATCCAAGGTTTTGTAGCACATTCAGTGGGCCTAAATACCAACCCCAATACAGGTTTGCGGAATTAGATTCTGAATTGCCCTACAATATTCCTTTTGAAACAGCACTACACAACCTAAGACCATCTGGGCAACACTTGAGTTGCAAAACTAAGGCCACTCTCCTTTCAGCTACATCAACGGCTGGTTCTGCTGTACTGAGTCAGGGATCCAGTCTCATAAGAGAGGGCTTTGACCAAAGACAGGAAGCAGATGGAAAAAGGAATCAGAGATTGGGTGAGAATTCAAATTATATTTGTTCACACAGGCTGTACAATCTAACCTCTGTGGTTTTTTTTTTTAGTTAAGAATACTATTTTTAAGGTTATTTCTGATTTTGTCTGCCAAAACAATATGATTAACAAATATATTAACTGATAGTCACACCTAAAATGAGATTTTATGAGAACTTTTTTTCCATTTTTAGCACTGATTCCTCATAGACCTGCTATTGTTCAAGTAATTACAATTGCGTGTATAGCCTTCAGTATTGCCCTGTTATGTGGGATCACTATTTCCTACATGATATAGTAAGTCTATGGTAAATAACTTTTACCATCCTTAAGTAAGACATAACAAGTTAACTAGGTTATTATTTTGTGATAGTAATGATGATGATGGTGATAATTCTTATAATCCTTAAATTATTATGGTCATTATACATTTTCAGACACTGTTTTTCAGAATATGGGCTATATTCATGTTGGGTCATGATATAAATGAAAAAATTTAAAAGAAACTGGATAAAAAGAATTTTTAAAGTAAAAATAGAAATTAATTTTTAAAAAAGCAAGGAAACAAACAAAAAAGAAACAGGACAGAATACAATTTAGTAGAATAGAAAGTATTAAAGTAAATGTTGGGCTTCCCTGGTGGCTCACTGGTTAAGAATCCACCTGCCAGTGCAGGGGACACGGGTTCCAGCCCCGACCCGGGAAGATCCCACATGCCACAGAGCAACTAAACCCGTGCACCACAACTACTGAGCCCACGCACCACAACTACTGAAGCCTGTGCACCTAGAGCCCGTGCTCTGCAACAAGAGGAGCCACCACAATGAGAAAGCCCACGCACCGCAACAAAGAGTAGCCCCCCCACCCCAACTAGAGAAAGCCCACGCAGCAACGAAGAGCCAAAGTAGTCAACAACAACAACAACAAAAAGTAAATGCTGATTTTCAACCTTTTCAGACTCAAGATTGTGAGGTAAATCTTATCTCTTACTGTGGATCATGATCAAAAATGTTTGAAAGCCACAGTCAGAGATGCTGTCATCCTCCCAAAATGTGGCTTTCTAGAGTGAACTTGATACTTTGGAGGGAATCTTAATAGTGCAAAGCAGAAAAGAGTGACCACTCTCTCTTTCACTAGAAACTTATTATTAATGCAATAGTAGGGGTAATAGTAGCATTTAGGGAAGACACTTCATCTTGTTCGCACAAATAAAGCTTGTGGTCAAGCTCAGGTTATGTGATCATTTTGAAATTAGTGTCAGACGAAAGCGAGCCGCACCGTGACATCATGCTACTCTGATCAGGAAAAACACATTGATTCCTATTCTAGGATTTAGTTCCAGGACTCCATTATATCCCATCAGAAACAGCTTGAGGAAGTACTAAATTATTTACTCTATCAGAATTAAGTGTGTACATGGGAAATGTATTGCCATGTATGGGATATTTTTTAAGGTAGCCATTTTAGAACCACTTGGAATATGTCAAATGAAGGCAAAATTAAAGGTAAAATTGAAGAAATTTTGCTAAGGAGAGAGTGTCCCCAGTATGTTTGGTTCTGGGTTATCTATGACTCAATTTATGTAACTAGAATTTCAGTTTATTTCATTAGTCTAGACAAAGATGTTAACATATGAAGATTGCTAAAGTAACTCACTACAACGTATCCTCCTGGAATTTCAGTGTCCAATTAAATTACTGAGCTAATGTCAACATTTACAGCTTTTACATTTGTGTTACCCCCAGTGGCATTTTAGAACCTGAGGCAAAAGGAAAAATATGTGCCCCAAAGTTCATGTTTTTACATAAATTTTAGTGGTTAATTTTTTCCAGAAGTACATTTTTGAAAATATATTGGTGAGTTTGATTTCACTTAAACCAGGAAAGTAAAGTTATAATAAATTTTGTTTCTGGTAAAGATAAAGTATTTAAACTTAAAATAATGCTGTGAGTTATGATACAGCACTTTTCAATTTTTAAAATATATTTCAACTACTTTAATGTTTTGGAAAAGAAGAACCGTAAAATAATACATAAAAACATGTATATAGGGACTCACATTTTCCCTTTTGACTCAGTCTCCCATATCGTTCATCACAGCACTAATGGATCCTGTCTTTAAAATTTTGATATTTTGTTTATTATGGATTTTTCCCATTCATTTCTTTTTCTCTTTTTTTTTGGCCATACCATAAGGTTTGCAGGATCTTAATTCCCCGACCAGGGATTGAACCTGGGCCCTAGGCAGTGGAAGCACTGAGTCCTAACCACTGGACCGCCAGGGAATCCCCTCATTTCAATTTTTTACAATATTAAGTCCAAATATTTATCCCCATTACTGAGTTTTTTGGCACCCCCTTAAACTGTGCACCTAAAGTGAGCACCTCACTCTCCTCACCCAAAATCTGGTCCTGTTCCAGCTTCCTGATTATCTGTAACAGTGTTTACAATCAGGCCATTTCTTCCTGCTACAGAGCATGATTCTGGAATGTTCCCCCTACACCCCTTCCTCCATCACAGTCCCTTAGAACACAAATAAGTTAACCCTAAAATGGTTTGTTATTACATGAGTCAAACACAATTAGGAAGGTAAGTATGTTAGGAGAAAGTAGAACACTCTATTACCCATTTTCACTTCACACAGAAATATCTGTTCAATGATCCACTTCCAAGTTTGGGCCTAGGGTGGGTGAGCGAGGCACTCACCTCAGGTGCAAAATTTAAGGGGGTGCAATAGTCAAGAAACTCAGTAGTCAAGAAAAATAATAATTTATTGCAATATTTTTAAGTCTAAATTAATGCCCTCAAAAATCCATGATGAACAAAATATCAACATTTTAAATACATGATCAGTGATGATGTCGGGCCAAAGCATATTGGAGACTAAGCAAAAGGAAAAATCAGCGGTACCTATGCTACCTTTATTTAAAATGTTGACATTGTGTTCCTCATGGATTTGTTGGCATTAATTTTTCTTTTGTAAAATATTGCATTAAGATGTTATTGAACTTGATCATGGAGGTTTGTGCCCAGCCCGAGTGCCCCATTCCTGTCACCTGGCTCCAAATCACTCGCCCCTTTTCTGCGTGTCAGCCCCAATCTGAGTTCTATAACTCTATAGAACTATAGAATTCTATAATTCTAATTATATTTCTATAATTAATTATAGTTCTATAATTATTTGGGTTCAAGTCTATTTCTGCTTCCTCCCCCATGTACTAGTGACCCCTTTGCTGTCAGAAAGTCACAAGATTAAGACAGGATGATTTAGTGGGAAAATTGTGCTTTTAAATGTACCTATTTTGTCCTCCAGTCGACTGGTACAGGCTGAGGAAAAACAACAACTTTCGTCACTCTATAAAAATGTCAAGATACCATTATTAGGAGATGAAGAGGAGGGCTCTGAGGATGAGGGCCAGGATGAGTCCACGCACCTCCTTCCAGAGAATGAGAAGGAACCGGAAAAGTTCATTCATTCAGGTAGAGGGTCAACCAGCTTTTCTTGTCAGATCCAAAATCCAAGGGAAGCTGAGCTGACAACGATGGTTGGGTTTTCCACGGCAAAGCTAATGAATATTTACAGCCACATATGCAGGAATGAGCCATTCGTATCAAATTACACAGAGGGGCAAACAGCTGTGTTGTTGTTTGATTCCTTTTGCAAGGCAATTCCAAGGACTGAAAAGAGAGTTCAGGAAACAAGACTTTTCCTGGACTCAACATTTCCCTTAAACATACTTATCAATGTCGTGTTGTTGCCGAGTTTTGACCACAGACAGGCAGATGCCCTCCTGCGCTGTCTGCCTCAGTTTGATGTGGAAATGGGATGCAGGCCCACAAAAAGAGGTTACTACCCCCAGGTCAGAGACGCCCCAGTGAGAATTGCCCACTACCCCTGCAAATCCTTGTGAGGATAGAACAACATATACGCTCATAGAAACCTGATTTTGTAGAAGTTCTGAGATTCTTCAGTACTTGCTTAAAATTTCTAGAGCAAAACGACGTAGATTGCAGTGTCTGATTCAATACTATTAAGCATGCACTGCATGGATCTCCTCTCTAACCACCCCAGAGATAGTCAGAGAGAGGCTGAGAGGCCAAGAGTAGAAGAGATAATTGATGCTTACTGAGGCAGACCGCCCTTGTACTCTTAGAAAATATTTTTTAATGTCTTTTCATTGTATTGAGTTATAACTTTTCTAAATGTTTAAAAATTGAAGTATAGTTTATTTACAATATTATACATTTTAAAAACTGGATATTTATAAAGCTTGAATACAGAAAGTGGGAAAATCATTTCAAAATGCAATTTTCACCATCCTTATCAGACAAATAACATTCATGAAAGCCTGAAAATTCCATTGTTTGTTCCTTTATTTTTCCATATATTTCCTCACTTCTTTTGTCTCTAATTCCTGATTTATTAGTATCTAAATAATGTTATGTCTACATTTTAGTCATTAGATCAAAAAGAAGAAAACATATGGAAAAGAAGAGATTGAACACAGAGCAAAAGTTGGTAAAGGAAGTGGAAATAAAGGATGCTATACATGCCGCAAATCTGGGGTGTCTGTGAAAAGAAATGAAAGAGAGGCAGGACGTGCTAGCCAGTGTGGGGAAACAGTGACAGATGACAGAATGTGAGCATGACTTGCTCCTGGAGAACCTTGTGCAAGAGCACTCTAAAGGAAGAACACCAGACGTAAAAACAGGAAATAAATTCATATGATATAGCAATCTTGCTTCCTAGTTCTTAGAGTTTATGAATAAATACAACGTAATTGGAAAAGGAAAAAATCCAACTTCGTAAGTGTGAAAGAGAAATTGTCAGGATTTTCTTTTCTCACTCTTAACCAGTAGTTTCTTTGGGTAAGTCTCTCAGACCAGGTGAGGAAACCACTTTCATGAAACAAAGCTTCCCCAGTGACATTATCTGTTAATTCCAGTAGCTCGCTTCCATTTTACATATAGCAAGACTGAGAATGTCAAAATGAATATGACAGCAGACAGTAACCTTTGTTTTTAGGGATCTGGGACCTGGTGCAGGAAATAGGTCTGCAGGCAAAGAGCTATAAAGCATTGCCAGATGTACTGAGTGCTGTAAACTGGGAGTCACCGAGAGCTGTGGAAACACAAAAGGGGCAGGATTTAATCTGAGCGGTGCTATTGGTGTGGAAAACAGTCTGATGGTTCCTCGAAAAGGTAAACATAGAGTCACTACCTGACCCAGCAATTCCACTGCTGGGTATATATCCAAAAGAATTGAAAATATATGTACCTGCACACAAGAGAAACCCTCACACAAACGTTCATAGCAGCATTATTCATAAGAGGAAAAAGGTGGAAACACCGCATATGTCCATCAACCGATAAACAAATTAACAAGATGTGGTCTCTCCATAGAGTGGGATGTTATTAAGCAAGGAGAAAGATAGAAGTACTGACACATGGTACAACATAGATGATCCTTGAAAACATTATGCTAAGTAAAAGCGGCTAGAAACAAAAGGTCCACACATCGTATGATTCCATTTATACAAAATACTTACAATAGGCAAATCCATAGAGGGTCAAAGTAGATAAGTGGTTCTGGGTGCCGGAGGAGGGGAGAAAAGGGAAAGATGGTTGGTGGGTAGGAGGATTCTCTTGGGGGCAATGAAAATGTTGAAAAAAAAGATTAGTGTAACTTGAGGAGGCTGGTACCGAACCCAAGTTCAGCTGCTCACCACTCAAAAGACCAATACTCAAGAGACAAGTGTTATACTTGATGTACAACATTGTTTTAATTCCTGCTGTACAGCGAAGTGACTCAGTTATACATATATATATATATATATACACTCTTTTTCTCTCTTTTTTTTTTTTGGCCGCACCTTGCAGGATCTTAGTTTGCCGACCAGGGATTGAACCTGGGCTACCGCAGCAAAAGCGCTGAATCCTAACCACTGGACCGCCAGGGAAATCCCTGGACCGCTTTTTATCAAGTGTCAAGCACATGAGAAGAGCATGAATCTTCTCAGGCAGATGTGTCTTCGCAAGAATAACTGAGGCAGGCAGAGTTCTAAGATGGCCCCAAGACTCCTGCCCTCTGGTGTACACAGCTGTGTAGTTCCCTTCTCTTGAGTGTGGGTCTTTGAATATGACAGATGTCACTCTTGTGATTATGAAAAAGTGATGGGATTGTCGCTCTCTTAATTGTTACATTAAGCCACCTGTCCAAGTCTTCAGGGACTGACTCCATGCAGGGAAAGACATTTACTAATCAACCCAGTGTGAAGGCTTCAGGCTTTCTCAGTTTTTTCCCAGACATGCATCTTCCCTGGTGTGTGTGTGTGTGTGTGTGTGTGTGTGTGTGTGTGTGTGTGTGTG